TCTTTTTGCTTATGTGGTGCTGAGGAATCGAACCCAGGGCCTCAGGCATGCAAGGCAAGCGCTCTACCACTGAGCCACCTTCCCAGCCCTGAATTTTTGTTTTACATTTTACTTTTTAGGCATAAGTACTTTTGCATTCTTGGTATAAATCTTAGGACTAGTTTTATCATTTAAATACTTGAGTCCATGTTTATGAGGAATACTGGTCTGTAAAGGTTTTTCTTACTCTGTCATTAGTCTTGGTAACAACACTCAGGGCTTCATATAGACTGAGTTTGGCTAAGATTGGTATTGCTTTCTCCTTAAGTGTTTGACATAATTCTCTAGATAGCCATTGGGCCTTGAAGGATTTGGTGGAGTAAGATTTAAATTAAAATTTGTTAATTTAATTGATATTAGACTTTCTAATTTTCCTTGTGTCCACATCACAGTTTTGTAATGGTTGTTCATATTCTTCCAATGTATGTAAGATCAGTTCTAATACCATTTTTTCTCTTTGTAACTACACATTTTTGGTAATTCTCTTAATCAGTTTAGATAGAGATTTGTCTATTTTATGAGATTCATTTTTGGAGACAAGATCTCACTGTATAGTACAAGCTGACATTGAACTCTCACTCCTTCTGCCTCTGTTTCCCAAATAGCATGTGCTACCATGCCCAGCATACTGCATGTTGCTTTTTATTTCTTCTTTTGGTGCCAGTCCTGCAGCTTGAACTCAGGGCCTGGGTACTGTCCCTGGCCTTTTTGCTCAAAGCTAGTGCTCTACCACCTGAGTCACAGTTCTATTTTCAGCTTTTTGTGGTTAATTGGAGGTAAAAATCACAAGGACTTTTCTGTCCAGGCTGGCTTTGAACTGTGATCCTCAGAACTCAGCCTCCTGAGAAGCTAGGATTACAGGCGTGAGCCACCAGTGCCGGCTTATCTTAAATTGTTTTAAACTTTTGTTCTTTCTGTTATAAACATTTAAAGATATTTTCTTGAGTGTAGTGTTCTATAAATGTCAATTAAATCAAGTTGGATCATATTGTTATTTAATTCACCCATTGGGTATGGTAGAAGTGTTAGCTCCTGCCTGTAATACTAGTTACTTGGGAGGCTGAGACCTGGAGGATTACTGTGCAAGCCCAGTCCAAGGCAGAGAAATTCAATTCTCAATTCAATTCTCAGAAAAGTATGTGAAAATCCATCTCCAATGAAGAAGCAGTTGTATTGGAGAGCTTCTGTGATACCAATTATGGCCGGAAGCAGAAAATAGGCAGATGATGCATGCTCCAAGCTCCTGGGCAGGGAACGAGAACCTATCTCAAAAATAAAGCCTACTAGTGCAAGACCTGAGTTGAAAACAAACCCTGTATTTCTTATTTTGTATTTATTGTTAGTTTCTGTTACTGAAAGCAACATGCTGATGGGGTTGCTTCTTCCTTGACTTCTATAAACTTTGTTTTCATGTTTATAAAGTACCTCTTTTAGACAGCAGACAGTCTATATTTAAGGTAAGTGTTACATTCATGGAGAAACTGAACAGGAAATGCAGAGTCTTCATATATTTTTGACAGCATGCACCCAGAGACATTGTCTTATACCCAGAAGGGTAGATTTGCTATAATTGAACCTATATTGGCATCTCATGACCATCCAAAGTCCAATTTATACCCCTGTTCATTCTTGATTTTGGACAGTTCACAATGTTTACGGTATGGGGCTTCCAACTCAGAGCTTGGTGCTCATTTGGCTTGCTGGTTTGGTTGGCACTCTACCACTTGGGCTATAACTCCAGTTCTGCATTTTTTTTAAAAAGCTGCTACTTTGCAGATGGAGTCTAACACTTTCTTCCAGTGCTAGGCTTGAACTGCAATCCTCTGGATATTAGTTTCCCAGTTGGAGTTGTAAGCATTGGCCACCATGTTGTGTTTTGTCACACACATAATGATTTATATCCATCATGTATACAGAATAGTTTCACTGCTCCCTCAATCATGTGCTGAACCTGGCCATCCCTTTCTCCCTGGCATCCAGTGTTTTGTCTTTTCCAGAAAGTTATGTAATTGGAATGATAATGTAGTCCTTCTAGACTGACAACTGAGTAAGAAAGCATTTAAAGTTCCTCCTTTAGTTTTCATGGGTAGGTAACATTTCTTTTTAAGGCTATATACTATTCTGAAACTTACATGTACCATAGTTTATCCATTTGCCAACAGATGGACATCTTGGTTACTTCTAAATTTGAGCAATTACCGATACAGACATCTGAGTGTAAGGTTTTGCATGGACATGTTTTTGGCTCATTAGAGTAAATATCAGGCAGTATTGTAGTATATTTAGTTATATGAAGAGTGTTTTGTTACACAGAAAATTGCCAAGCTGTCTTCTGAAGTGACACTTCTGCGTTCTCCCCAACCATACATAAGAGTTCTGTGGCTTCACATCCTTACTAGCATTTGGTATTGGGTTCTGGATTTTGGCCATTCTAAGTTTATGGTGGTATCTCACTGTTATTTTAATTGTGCAGTTCCCTAATGACATGTTATTTTTTATATGCTTTTCATGTGTATGTCTTCCTCAGTGAGGCACCCATTTAGATCTTTTGCTCATTTTTAATCAAGTTCATATAATTATTGAATTTTAAGAGCTCTTCATATATGTGAATGACAATTCTTATCAAGTATGCTTTTAAAATATTTCTCCTAGTTTGGCTTATCTTAATGCCTTGGCAGTGTCTTATGGAGTTTATTTCATAAATTACACCTTTGGTGTTGTACCTTAAAAGGATCACTAAGCTCATAGTTTTTTCTTTGCTGTGTTTGATAAAGGGTGCTGTTTTGGTGTGTGTGTGTGTGTGTGTGTGTGTGTGTGTGTGTGTGTGTGTGTGTATGTGTGTTGCATGTGGATGTTCCGTGTTCACAGCATTTGTTGCAAAACCTCTTTTCTCCATTGTACAGCTTTGGCTGACAATCAGCTGACTATCTTTGTGTGGTCTGGATCTTATTGTTTAACAATCTGACCATCATCTGCTTTTTTTTTTTCTCTGTCATTATGGGGCCTGAACTCTGGGCCTGGGCGCTGTCCCTTAGCTCTTCAGCTCAAGGCTAGTGCCCTACCACTTGAGCCACAGTACCACTTTTGGCTTTTCCTGCTGATGTGGTGCTGAGGAATCAAACCCAGGGCTTCATACATGCAAGGCAAGCACTCTACCACCTTCCCAGCCCCAATCATCATCTGCTTTTTAATTGGAAATAATCTTTTAATTGCAAGTTAGTCATCTTGCTGATTTCTGTCACATTTTCTTTCTTCTTATGTTCTTTCTTCTGGAGTCAATGAATCTGTTTCTTCACCATTTTTAAGTCATATATTATCTCTTTACTGATTGCTCTATTTAATTTTTAGTAAATGCTTCCATATTTCAGAATGGATAAATCTGTAGCTAAATGTTCACATTCACAAATCCCACCTTTGGCATTAGCCATTAGTGTAGACAGTAAATATTTCAGATACTGTATTAGATCTGAGTTTCTACTTTCATTATATAATTCCCATCCTCTAATGACATTCTCTATTTGTTCACTTTTGTGACCTTTTTTTCTTTTATGTACTTGAATATATTAACTATTTTAATTAACATTTTTGTAAATTCTGTTACCAATGTTGGGTCATGGGGGGGGGGTCTATTTGTAATCTTCAAATAGTCGGTCAGATTAAAATTTAACGTAGCCACTTAGGGTCCAGCACATCTTGACCAGTCACTCTCTGTCCTTCTCCATCTCCCCTACCTCTTGCCCCTGGAGACACATCACATTTCAGGGAGTCCATTTATAGCTATTTTTCTTCCATGTGGATCCTCTTCCTCTCTACCTCAATAGCTAGAATTATAGGTGTGAGCCATTGGCGCCCAGCCTAACTAGCCATTTTTTTGCTTACTAGATGATGCACATTGTGATATTTTATATGAAGTCTGGATGGTCACCTTTGCTTTACTGAGCTTTACACTGTGTTAGAGGAAGACTATGTCTGTTAGTCCACTGTGAGCCATAAATGACAGCTTGTTCTTGTAAATGAGGCTTTATTTGAGTAGAAATTATGTCCACCTATTTATGTTTTTGCTTTTGTAGTTGTTGGCCAAGTACCATAAACTGAGTGACTATAAATAAATAAATTTATTTTTCAAAACTTATTTCCCAGCTGCAGGCTGGAAAATCCATCCAGTTAAGACACCATAGATTCAGCATCAGTTCGTTTCCTGCTATGTTGTCACATGAGGGTGAGAGACTTCTCTGAACTTTCTTTTTTATAGACCCAGTGATCCTATAATGGCTTCCTAGAGGTTCCACCTCAAGTACTATTACATTAGAGATTAGGTTTCAGCCTTGGACTCTGAACAGCAGGGGATAAGCATTCAGTCTTCAGTAATATGGATCACAAGCCTAAGACATACACTATCCAACTCCTTAATACTTTCACAAACCCATCTCTTAAGGTGTCATATTTCCCTAGTAGTATTCTATTTTAGCTGGTCCTTAACTCCAAGGATTCAACAAGTACAATATAACTTTCAGCATCACTGTTCAACTCAAGTTCCAAACAGCTAACCTTCTGCAAGATCCTTACCTATCCCTGTATTATGTATGCACATCCAATCATTATTCTTGATGACTTTTCTCCCTTAGTTTAGCTCTTGTCTCTTATAAATTCCACTTGCTGTCTGCTTCTACAACATAGCAGAATTGCCACTCTCTTTGTATTCAACTTCTCTGTGATAATGCTGGAAGATTACCTCAAACAAACATCCAGGATATTTACAGCTTATGTCTCCCTTCTCTAAGACACACTGTACATTGCTTGTGTTTCAGTGCCTGGAATACCTGCCTGACATATTAGTTGATTATGGTAAGGGAGAAATCTGGCACTATTTGTATTGCTATGTAAAACCAAAAATCCTAGCAAAGAGGATATTCTGATCATTCTCCCCACTGCCTTGTGTTTGACACTCATTGAATTCTCTAATCTTTCGTGTTAACCATACCCAGTTCCTTAACTACCCCTCACAGTACAGAACAGATATGATGGTAAGTCACCACATGCAGGGCTACACAATCAGACAGTCCTCATCTCCAAGTTGCTGAGTGTCATAAACAAGACAGACCACCCACATTCCTTGTTCCCTTTTGAAATCCATTTCTGAAAGCTGAAACATGAAGCAGGGTGTGCAGAACTAAAGGTTATTAAAAGCAAAAGGCTAGAATTCTTTTTTTGCCTTCTCTATTATCCTTATTAGACAGCGATAGGGACCAGATATACTATTGTGAGAAAGAAAATGGGGGAAGAATTTATAGAAAAAAGTATACCTGACAAAGGTTGCCTTTCCAAGTCTTAATTACAAACCATTAAAAGTGAATTCGGCTTATGCTGTCTTTGACCATCTAAAGGTCAGAGAGTTCAAAAACAAATTTTATGAATCTTCAGAATTATACCTGAAACTCAAAAACAAAGATATTAATTGGTGACTATAACCTCACACACCCTCTCTCAGATGGCTAGTGGTCCCTACAGTGAAATTGCTCTGTGAGGCTTTATCCTTAAGTCCTAGCTTTAAACAAGTTTGGTCAATGACACCTTGGTAGCCTAGGAGTCACATCCACTCTGATCAAATCAGGGTAGGAATGCTATTTAGGAGGAGAAACCTGCAACATAAACCATCATTCTCTGCTAAAGCAAGTGGTAAATATTCAACCAGAGAATAAAACCAGATTTTTAATAGGCCATAATGTGCCGGCTCACAGGATATATGGCAGAAGCACATTTTGCTCTGCCTGTTTCTTGTCACATTCAAGATCCGCATCAGCAAACGTTTCCTATAAAGGGCTAGAGGGTAAGTATTTTATGCTTTGTGCACCACAGCCTATTCAATTCTGTCATTGTCAGCATGTTTATAGACAACATAGAAACTGTGGTGTTCTGACAATTCCACAGGAATCTAGAATTTGGTCCAACAGTGATGTATCTGGTCCTGTGATGCCTGCTATAAATAAGTGTAGATAATTAAAAAGGCTGAAAATATGTTTTCATATTTTGTAAACTGGCAAGTGAAATGAACTTGTTTCCACACCATGAATCATATTTTGCATTCTATGTTATACTATCTCCACACATTAATGAATCATATTTTACCTTCTATAACTCCAAAATGAAAACTCCCTTCTCTCAACAGGTAAATACCACAGGGGAATAGTGAGAGGGACATTGATTATCGACGTGGCCTGGTCAACATCGAGTGAAGGTCCCTTCGTTGTTTTCCAATGATGCTGCAGAAGTAGTCTTTGCCAGTACTTCTTTCCTTCATTCAGCCAGAGCTCTTCACACCACCATGGGCTGCATGAAATCAAAGCAAACCTTCCCATTTCCTACCACACTGGAGAATGAGAAGCGACATGAGAGTGAAGAAAACTTTATACCAGAAGAGAGACTTCTACCTAAGATGCCCTCTCCAGATATCACCCAAACAGCTGAGAAGGAAGTGCCACCACCGAGTACTACGCTCCTTGAATATGCAGAGTCCCTAGCCCAGGAAATCATGGAGGACGCTGTGAATCAATGGGCAAGCAATAACACCAAGTACTGCGACATCCCATACATTGAGAATGACAGCTCTGACACTGCGGGATGACAGAACTTTCCTGAACTTTGCATATAGCTGGTGCTAGTTTAAATACATGAGGCAAAAGCAAATGTGGGTGTGAATAAGTACAAATAAGTCTATCTAGATGTAAAAACGGGTGAAGAATGCCACAAGTGTAGGAATAACTAAGAAGAAATGTGTTTTAAGCAGTTCTCTATTAATGGCAATACACATTGCACCTGGGGTCACAGGCTGGACAGAGGCCCTGTGTCTCAGTAATTAGCTGTAATGCCATAGCACATCTTCCCCATGCACTGATGTGATCACCAAAGAGAAATAAGTGCCCAAGTTCCAAATGGCTGTTTTAATAGATTTTGTGGTGGTGGTGGTGGTTGTTGATTGTGGGGCCTGATCTCTGGGCCTGGGCGCTGTCCCTCAGCATTTCAGCTCAAGGCTAGCACTCGTACCACTTGAGCCACAGCACCTCTTTTGGCTTTTTCTGCTGATGTGGTACTGAGGAACAGAATCCAGGGCCTCATGCAGGCAAGGCGAGCACTCTGCCACTGAGCCACCTTCCCAGCCCCTTACTGGATTATTTTTTTAATGACTATTTCTTTTATACCCCCTAAAAACCGCCCCCCTTTTTTTTCTGAACATCTTGGCAAGCGAATGGCTCTCAAGTCACAGTGATCTACGTGTCTTGTTGGTCAAAACTAACTGGGTTAAGGATTCCAAGGTCTTTACATCTACAACCAAGGATTAGAAAGTGACCAAAGTACAATCAGGGCCACTTGACCCTTGTTCTTAAGCATACTGCCATCTTGAACCCCATGCCCTAAATAAAACAAGTATAGGAGAGATTAGACTTTGCCATCTTAAAAAGATAAAATTATTAGAAGCTATTACATGAAGTATTGCATTGAATTAGGCCCCTTTTATAAATACCAATTCAGTAAATCTCAAAAATAACAGAAGCCTAGTGTGTAGGCATAAAGCAGAGTGGGGTTAACTGTGTGAGGCTTTACTGACAGAGATGCTGCTGTAAAGGGAACTCATGCCCAGTTTTGTGATGCAGTCACTTGCTACATAACTATGGGGAGCTGACAGATTTGTAGCTCATTATAAAATAGAGCACTCCTCTAAAGGAAATGTGTTTTTTAGTGGTAATACTTGCCATAGGGTATTTTTAGCCATATGTTATAGAATTTTCATAATTTCAAGCACATTTTTAAAGTACTACTTAAAGATCAACAGCAACAAAAGACTGGATGAGATGAACAACATTGAAAAGACAAAACATATAGGAAAGAAGGAACTAAGATAGGTAAAAGGAACTGAGCCTCTAGAATGATTTTTCCATCAAGATTGTTGGAAAGGCAGCTAAGCCCAATTTATGTTTGATACTTTTATAAAGGTGTAACCTACCAGTGTCATTGATAACTAAAAGCAGGTGGAAAAAGGCTGTGGATCTCTAAAAGCAGAGATTAAATATGCTTTTTGACTTTGTAAGCAGGTAGAAAAAGCTACCTCTAATTTTAACAATACTCTGACACCCACAATCAAATAGAGCAAATTCTCCAACAAAAAGATAATTAAAATAAGCAGCATGCCATCTTCCAGCTGTGCTTGGACACCTGATCAATTTTAATTTTCCTGTACCACAGGATTTGCAATCTAGAAACATGTATAGAAGAGGCCCACTCACTCTCATTCATACTAGGATCTGAGTTTTAAGGCTAAGTGCAGAAAGTTTTCCATTAAAAACAAAACAGATTTTTCTAGCTCATGAGTGGAAGATTTAAGGTTGTGAATGTTTATACTAATTACTCAAAAACCTAGGTTATGTTGCTTTTTATTCATCTTATTTCATGACACTTGTTGCCAAGTCATTCAAATACATTCAAAATACTTCAGGGAGAACACAAAAGCCATACAAAGCAATATGCCACACTAAGGTTCTCGGCATACATAGGGACCAATACTCGTGGGTTAGGGTTATATCTAAATATTTAACTTGATTTTCCCTCATTGCTCTGTGCCCCTATTTTCTGGAGGTGAGTCAGGTTGTTACCTAGCTAGAGTTCTAAATCTCTCCAGCCACCTCTCCCAGCAACTGTGGCGAAACACTTTTACCAAAACAGCCACCACCCCTTTCCCTGCACCATTTATTAATGGAGTATGATGTGTATATGTTCCAAGAGCCTTTGAGCAGAGTTAGTAGATAAACCAGGTGGGGAGAAAAAATAGCTGAATGAAAACGTATAACACAGCTGACAGTTATTAAGGTAGGTTGGCCTATAACTAGTATTCTTAAATATCTTTATATTCAAATATTGGCTTTACTTCACTTTGAAGATCTTTCATGTTCAAGGAAGAGAATAATACAGAAGAGAGGGGAGACCTGAAAAATGGAATACTGAAAGAATTACTAGTTTACTAGAAAGGGAAACATTAGTGAAGGGCAGAGGAAATTACTAGCACAACCTCCAGATTGGAAGCAGGTCTTCAGAAAATACATGTGCCAATTCCTAATACCAATCCAATACCAAGACATTCACTGCTGCCTTCCACACTTGCCTCTCTCGTAACTGAACTACAAGCCTGTGACCCTAAAATTTCCCCCTTTTTGTTGCCTTACTAGTTGTTTGCAATCTGTGTATGGTTATTAGCACTTAAAGCACAATTTAACAGGGGACAATAATGATTATCATCTAAGTTCCAAAGGAATAATTTGTGTCAAATTGCCTTTTGAGTACGAAAAATAAACACAGGACTAAAAATGAGGTTCATTTTGTACTCAATATCACCGGCAGTTCATAAAATGAGGCAGAAATATTTGCTTCCATATTACATGATCTTAAAGCCAAAAGTCAGAGATGTTACCTATACCAAAAAAACAAGTAATTTTAAAACAAATTTCTAATAGAGTTTTTAATCAAACCACCTTCCATCACTGGCTCTAAGAAACAACCTACATCTTGATTTACAAAACACAAATATTATTAGCAAATTCTCTTCCCTGTTAGTGAAGTAGTATTATTTTTTCAAATACTTTGTCGCCTTTTTTGAAACTGCACAATAAATCCAGTTGCAATTAGCTATGAGTTTCTCATTTAATTGATGCAAATTCTTTTCAATATTTTATACAAAGACATTTTTAACATAAAAGACTTAACAGTCTATATTAAGTATGAAGTGAATAGAAACCAAATATATAATAATAATTAAATAGGCTAATTTATGAGCCTTGAAAATATAAATATGTCCAATATTGTTGGCATTTTATTCTAGACATGTTCCTGAATTTTTTGGAAGAAAAGTCCTCATGACAAATAGATTAGGAATGGGGAAAATTCAAAACAAAAGTGATGGGCTGCCATCTTCCCTCTATGAGAAGGTGCAGGATATAATCTCTGATGCCCTTTCCAGATCTCATGGCTTTTTGCAAACTTATTCTTGCCTAGAACTTCAAGGTCTTTTCCCCTGAAACTCCATCAAATTTCTTATATGGCTTACACACACTTTTCTGCCAACAGTACCAGTTATTGAAGATACTTACATTTTAAACTGTTTTGAATTTTCTCAAGTAAAAATGTAATGTAATTTGGGGTTTCGCCAGAGGAAGGTATTCTCATTACTTTAGGGAAGGCCAAAGCTGAATTTATACATTGGATAGATTAATTACATGAACCCTCCCCCCTCTTGTAATTCAATTATTTCATACATACATACAAGAAGGAAATTCTATGAGACATTTTAACATTCTCCCCCCAAATCCCAGAGGTTTTATCTTTTATCATTTATACTGAAACCACTACTGAAAGGCAAATATGAAGCTTCCATTTCAGTTAGATATCTCTAGAGACCTTCAAAATTTCCCCTTTTCTAAAATGGATTGGCAAACTGACAATGATAAAACAGATGGTATTTCAGGTACTACAGGCCATATAGCCTGTGTTGTAACTGCTTGACTCAAAGCAGCCTGTAAACTAAATACAGCTATGTTTCAATAAAGCCTTCTGAACACTGATATCTGAAATTACACTGACTTTTCACATGTCATGAAATGCCTTTGATTTCTTTTCTCAACCATATAAAAGTAGAGCAGCCATTGCTAACTTTCAGGCTGTATAAAAATAGGCACCAAGCCAGATTTGGCCCAGGTGGTGTAGTTTGCCAACCCATGCTACCAAATATATCTTAAAACACCAACCACCTCAGAGTTTCAAATCATTGCTTCCCAGAGATTTAAAATAATTATTCACATCTTCATCGGTAACTTCTTTTAGATTAGCTGGTTTCCACTTTGGACTCTGGTCTTTATCAATTAAAACTGTCAAAAGAAGAAAAAGATACTAGCACATTTCCTTCTGGTGTGATCATATTTTAATTGCTGCGTTGACAAAAACCTGTCTTTTACTACATATACTTTTCTATAGCACTTTTTTCTGTAAAGTTATGGTTTTCTACATGATCTGTTTTTCTTTTAAATTAAACCTTCAAAGAATTTGTTCAGATAGCCATATTCTTTGATGAAAAGTGAGGGTATTTCTCACCTTCTGAGCTTCACATCTCTAGCTTTAATAGAAGCTAGATTAATAGAGTTCTTTGAACATTCTTTTTCCTTCTTCAAAGAAAATCACTAATGAAACCTCCATGTTACAAACAGCTAAAAATCAGCACTGGCATAGTTGAAACAGAAAGCCAGGGAGTAGGTCCAGTTCTTCTTTGGGAAGAAAATTAATCACTGAAGGTAAAAGGGAACTTTGTACTTAATTAAATGTAGATACTGCTGTTCTGCTGAATCCTCTAGTTCAGACAGCTCTAAATTTAAAAAAATCAGAGCTCTGACAGGTTATCATGCAACTTCTACTTCTCCTGTTACCACATAGTCATCACTGAGTGAAGCCACCTAATATTCCCAGAGGATGGAAAGTATGAGGCAATCTGTAACCTCCTCTTAAAAAATAGAGTCTCATACCCATTTCCTGGCTGCAATACTATAGTTCTGGTGCACACTGTAGTTATGTAAGTGTTATTTGGGGAAGTGGGTACAGGGCATGCAGGATTTTATTATTTAGTGCATATGAATCTACAGTTAAACAATTTTCAAACCATGGTGCTCAACATGTTTACAATATGCATAATTTTAATGAAGAATAAAAATAACTCTGGATAACTGTAAAAATCCAATTTAAGTATTAAATGGCTAAATAAGGAGCAGTCTGGAAAACAAGGAAGAAGGCTACCTTGTTAGGAGGAAGAAAAGAACCTTTATGTAAATGTGGAAATTAGAGAGAGGTGTTTTGTTTTGGGTGGTGTTTTTGTTTTTCTGTTTTTGAGGTGATGTGTCTCCACCTTTCCTAGACTGGTCTCAAACTATCTCCCAAGTAGGATGGACTATAGACATGCATACTGGATGGCTTTAAGGTTTGGCTGTCTACTATGGGACTCCAGAATCCAATCAGTGGTATCTTAAACACCAGTGTTCTGATCCATAACCAATTTCAAAGTGTACATTCCCAAGCTATTGTAAATTTATAATGGTGCATTCTTTCCATGTTATTCTCTTCCCTTTTAATCTTGCTGGCCACTATTATCCGCCTCCTTGAGATGCCACCAAAGGAAACAGGAAAGACTATTACTCAAATCTGTACTAGTTCCTCTTAAGCTAGCCCAAGTTTTTGCTTAGAAGAACATAACAAATTCTTGCCATGTAGGCAGCTGGGGTTTTTCAGAAGGTCTCCTGAGATCCCCTGACTTCATTTGTTAGCTACTGAGCTCTACTTAAGATCATCCATTTTATTTTCTTTCACAACCAGAAAGAGTTTAATTCTAAATAGTAAGCCTAAGATATTTAATAAACATTTCCCTAATCTACCTACTTATTTTAATTTGCTGAATTTTCTTTTTTTGGGTCGGTCGTGGGGCTTGAACCATCTGGGCGTGGGCGCTGTCCCTGCGCTCTTCAGCTCAAGGCGAGCAATCTACCGCTTGAGCCACAGCTCCACTTCCGGTTTTCTAGTGGTTTATTGGAGATAGGAGTCTCACCGTCTCTCCTGCCCGGGCTGGCTTTGAACCGCGATCCTCAGATCTCAGCCTCCTGAGTAGCTAGGATTACAGGCATGAGCCACCGGCGCCCAACTTTGAAATATTTTTATAGATAGCAAGAACACTAAACATTTGTCCCAGAGCAGATATTGCTTTCTAAATAAGAGGCCTTGTTAAAGAGGAGGCTTCATACATTCATTAAAAATGTAGCTAGGTGTGGTGTATTTACTTGTAATTCCAGCACTTAGAAGGCTGAGGTAGGAAGATCAGCTCAAGACCAGCTGGATTACATTGTGAGACACTGATTCAATAATTTTTAGACTTTTTAAAAACTTGAGTTTAAAAAACAATAGCTTGATAAAGTTTATGATCTAGAACTCAAATGCTGCTTGAGTTCAACTCTTTATCCCTTAAAGATATATTCTAAAAATATAAAATGTTTTTAGATAGATACACTCTCACAATAAATGATCATGATAGTGCATCTTCAACAAAACCAAATTTGTACACAGTCTTTCTAAAATCAGAGGTTTAGGTTCCAGTACAGCAAGAATCTTCAGTGAGTTAGTAAGGAAAATATATGTTACTTTGTTTCTAAAAAAAGTGGAACCATCTGTTCTGATTCAATCACATGTGCTTTATAAAAGGAGTTGACCCCAGTTCTTATTTATGATATTATATCATGCCAGAAATTAGGACAATTGTGAGTGTTTACTAAAGCTTAGGGTTCAGAACATAACCTCTTATTCAGATAAAAACATATTTCTAGCTGGGCACTGGTGGCTCATGTCTGTAATCCTAGCTACTCAGGAAGCTGAGATCTGAGGATCATGGTTCAAAACCAGCCCATGCAGGAAAGTCTTTGAGACTCTTATCTCCAATTAAGCACCAGAAAACCAGAATTAGTGCTGTGGCACTCAAATTGGTGCTAGAATGCTAGTCTAGTTCAAGTACTATGACCAACAATAGTAACAAATTTCTAGGGCAGGGGTGTGTGACAGTGGTAGAGCGCTTGCCTAGCAAGTCTAAATTCTAGCACCACAAAAAGAAATATAAAAGTATATCTAGTGACTGGTACCAGTGGCTCATGCCTATAATCCTAGCTACTCAGGAGGCTGAGATCTGATTTGTGGTTCAAAGCCAACCTGGGCAGGAAAGTCCATGAAACTTTTATCTCTCACCATAAAAGACAGGAAATGGAACTGTGGCCCAGGTAGTGCAGTGCTAACCTTGAGCAAAAGCTCAGAGACGGTGCTTAGGCCTTGAGTTTGAGTCCCAGGACTGCCATTAAAAAAATGTGCTCTTTAGTTAGCAGTATATATTCACAAATCCCTGATAGCCAAGCAAGAATTATAGTTATTTGTCACTCACCAGCTCTAACACCTTCATGAAAATCATGATTTGCCTGAAAAAAAATTGAGATTAAATGGGTCAGTTTCATTCTTGGTGCTCTCTCCCTTCTGCGCCCCCACCCTCACTCCCGCCTCGCCCCATGTTCGCCTCTCACTTCCATGACCTGAACTGTGACATCCAGAGCCTGGACTACTTCCTACTCTTTTTCCCTTCAAGTGTGTCCATTCAGCGTATTCTTGATCCTCCTTTGGCTGCTGCTCCTATGGCTCCCACCTGTGCAGGCTTCACTTCCCATTTATTACACAGTCACTCTCCATAGAAATTGTCACCTGCTGCAAACCTTTCCCTTTTACACTGTCCTAGCAAAATCCTTGTACCAGCTGAGTACCAGAGATTTCATTTAAAACAAAGCACTGAAAACGACCCACAACCCATCATCTCTCCCTAGTCCCCAAAGCAACCATTTATTTTCTACTTTCTCAGCTTCTGCCCAGGTGCACATTCTTACTATGTTATCATGTAATGACTCACCATCCATTAACAAAAGGAAGTCCTCTGATGTGAAAATCCTACACACACCACTAAAACACCTGCCACGGACCCTGGCCATTTGACTGTGTGGGAGGGGATTACCTCCCTCCTGTCTCAAAGACCAGGCCCTGCTGCAGATCCCCTTGTGCCCTCTTGGGAACTCTTCTTGATAAGAAGATGATGTCTCAGTTCTCTGGACATATGAACGGAGTCAGCATAACTGAATGGCTGAGTATACACAGTTCAAATGTCTAAGTTCCATGCCAGTTGTACTGCAAGTCACTATGTTGTCTTGGTTAGTAATTTCTCTAACCCTGTTTCTTCATATGAGTAGCACTATCAATACACCCATCATAGGATTTTAAACCATGAGGCAGCACAGACTGATTATGTGCTAAGTGTTAACTATTACAATCTTTTTCTCTATTGGATTATTTCCAGTCATTTATAAACATGCTGTAGTATCTTTGATCTTACACAATAAAACTCAGAGAATACCTATTTATTTCAAAAAGAAAAAGATGTGTACCTGCTGTCTGCCCTTCCTCTTTCACCTCTTGCCTACTTACATCCTCTTCAACTCACTGAAGTCTAACTTGGACCCCAGAGCTTCAATGTCATCAAACTTAAAGGATACTTCCCAACCTTACTTGCCAGACATTTTGCAATATTTGACACTATTTATTCACTACATTCCCCTCCAAACATTATGCTGTTGCCAGAACTTCTCTAGGCAAAAGCTTTAACCCCCCAGCCATAAGCCTCTCTCATTTGTGTGACTTCATGCTCTTCTGATTCTCCTACTTGTCCTTTTGTTTTCTCTTCCCATCTTACTTTCTGTTCCTCACTTCAATAGGATAGACTTGGATTTCTCCCAGGCCTACATCTGAAATTTGCCTTCTGTATGATCATATCCAGACAGTGCTAACGCAACTGCCATAATGATGGCGTCTGGTCCAGTGTAAGATCAAAGCACGCCTGCTCTACACCATGTCATGTCTTCTCATTTTACACAGAGCAGAACTTTCAGTCTTACACATCAGGGCCCTATGTGTCCCACAGGGACCTTGCCCATACTGGTTGCTTGGATTCCAGCTCTCACCACCATATCCCCTCCGTTCTTCTCCCAGAAGCTCTGCAGTTCCAGGCACTAGCAGGAACTCCTGCCTCAAAACTCTGTCCTGCAGTTCCCTCCACCCGCTCTGAAACTTGCCTATTTCACTTCCTATTTCTTTTCATCTTCAAAGAACTTTAGTGATGGTCTTTGTGAACATCAAAATCTTAGTGATGATAGTAATATGTCAGTTTTCTTTCAAGCTATTGTTAGCCCTGCAACATATTTATTTGTTGTGTTAATAAATTCTTTTCAAGAGCTCTTTTTTAAAGAGGGGGAGGTGCTTAACTATCCTTCAGACTTAAGTCTGAGCCAAGCTCCAAGCTCCACCTCCTAAATGAATCCTTTCCTTCCTATCAATCCTCATATCCTATCAATTCTATCTCAGACATTTGCCTCATATCCATTGACTCATGTCCTTTGGCACCATGATATTCAACACCACTTCTAGCTCACACTTAGGTCACTGCAACATACTCCTATCTGGTCTTTACATCCACTTTTAAACCCCTCCTGCCCTGTCTCTACTTGGCAGCAATAATTATCTACTTAAAAATGCAATCAAGTCAAATGGAAAAAATTAAACCATCTCCTCCTTAAAACCCAAAAAGCTACTCCATATTCTCACTTCTCATCTGTCAGGTCACAGATGAGGTAGTGTCTCACAGCTATCAACGCTATGGTTTTATAGCCGGTTTCCCCTTTGCCTCCCATAAGCCCAATAAGAAGGCACTGCCACATAGTAACATCTGTGAGAAGGAAGTGAATTGGTCTATCTCAGCAGTGCACTAAAAGCACAGTCAATAAACTCCATGAGGCTCACAGGCTACTAGCTAACGACTATCAAGTTTACATGCCTTGTTTTGTTGAACAGCCTCCGTTTCCTCATCTGTGAAACATAACAGTATCCATTTTCACAGACTTAATAGAGTGACTACCAGTAAATGCTCATAACAAACACTTAATAGAGCTTCATCTTCATGGACATCCTCCAAGGGGTGACTTTCAGACATGGCTTATGAGAGTTTTACTTCTACCCAGATGTACTTTCCATATCTTAATAAGTATTTTGAAGACATTAAATCTATTAAAAATCTCTTATTTCTGATTATTAGATCAAATATTCCTCTTTGGTGTTGTTTATTAATATAAATAATATGATGCTTTTCAAAGGCTCTACCATACACAATGATCTGTCTTTGGAAAGTTTAACATGTAGAAAAAGAAATGTTTCATGTGCATTTATTGTGCATTTATTGAATTTGTATAAAATATGCCTGATAACTATTATTCCTCTTTTTAACAATGAATATATTTGTTTGTTTGTTTGTTTTTTGGGGTCCGGTCGTGGGGCCTGAACTCTGGGCCTGACAGCTGTCCCTCAGCTCTTCAGCTCAAGGCTAGCACTCTACCACTTGAGCCAGAGCGCCACTTCTGGCTTTTTTCTTTTTGCTAATGTGGTGCTGAGGAATTGAACCCAGGGCCTCAGGCATGCAAGGCAAGCGCTCTACCACTGAGCCACCTTCTCAGCCCTCCTTTGCCTATATTTGAAAAAATTATTTCTATTCTGAAATCTACATAAAGGCAGAGGTCTTACACACAAATATAATTGGTATTTCATAAAGGCTTACAAATAATCTAGAAGGCAATATTTTCACATACTTAACACTACCCGGCCTATTTTCTTTTCACAAAAGAGATTTATAGGTAACTCATTTTCTTGTTTATACTTTTTTTTTGTTATACTTCCTACAAGGAGCATATATTACTACCCTAACTAGAAAGCCATAATTAATTAAAAAAAAAAACTTACCATGCATGCTTGACTGAGCCGATATTCCATTGTTAGTACTTCCTGCAAGGTCTTTGAAGACCCCTCTATGAGTTGCCTTAGTGTGATCTTTAAGGACATTGGAGACATTTTACTAATGACCTTTTGGAGGAAAAATAGTAGTTGAAGACCAACAGTTCCTTTATTAACTATAATAAACTAGCTGACTTTCTATGTATGTTACATTAAAATACGCCCTTTAATGTTCTTTTTTGTGCCAGGTTTCATAAAAATTATATCTTAACATGATCCTGCCAAAGCACCAAACACATTTTCTAAACTGATACAGAAAAGGAAACAGATCATTTGGCAAGTGAAAGGAATTCTTTACCCATTTTTTAAAATTATGATCTCAAGTAGATAAGCAAACATCAAAAATTAATAGACATGTTACAAATCACTAATACGTACAGAGGACACTCTGCTTTATATGTAGACACAGGGTAGGGTTGGGAGAGATGGGGAGAATGATGGAAGGGATGACATTAAGATACATGCGCTCAAAAACGGACAGGTAGAATTGAAATCTCTTTTACAACTTCTGAAAAATAATAAATTAATAATAATAATAAAGGGAAGGGAGGGGAGGGGACAGGGGAAAGTAAAGTGAGGAAGGGGAAGGGGAAGGGGAAAGGGAAGAGAAAGGGGAAGGGGAAGGAGAAGGACAAGGGGAAGGAGAAGGACAAGGGGAAGGAACTATTCTCCTCTCACTTTGTGACTCTGGAAAAGTACCTAAACTCAACTGGCTCAGCTAGAGTTAAGTCTACTTACCTTGGAGATATAAAAACAATTCATGTTACTATGAGGCACTGTTCTTCAGTTTAAATATTAAATAGGAATTTTATACATAGCTCCAATGCTGTGCCATTTGTTTTCAGCTTAAAGATTCTACTACCTGAGTTGCAAAACATGTGTATGATTGTGACTACTTTGCTGGTACTAGAGATGTATACATCAAGGCTTGCACTTTCATCAACAGATAGTCTTTTAGGCTATCTGTTGAATAAACGTCTCAGACTTAAATTTTATTTTATGAGTTCAAAGAATTGAGAAAACTAGGCTATTAGGTTTCTAGTAATTATAAATTTCCTTTAAATGGAAAAAAAATCAAATAGAATTGAGAAAGGGTCTCCCCCCCTCCACCTCCCCTCCCTCCCCCCTGGCAAGCCAGCCTGGACTGTGATCCTCCTACTCACACTTCCTGGACCACAATTCTCCTATTTACACTTCTGCCATGGCTGGAATTAAAGGAGATAGGATTGCAACTTTTTGCCCAGGCTGCTGACCTACTACCCACAATGAATGTCAGCTTCCTTTTATTTACTTATTTTTGTCAGTTGTGGGGCTTGAACTTAGGTCCTGGGCTCTGTCTCTGAGCTTTTTCACTCTACTACTTTGAGCCACAGCACCACTTCTGGTTTTCTGATGGTTAACTAGAGATAAGAGTTTCACACACTTTCCTGCCTGGGCTGGCTTTGAGTTATAATCTTCAGATCTCAGTCTCCTGATTAGGTAGGATTCTGGTGTGAGCCACCAGCACCCAGCAATCTCAGCTTCCTGAGTAGCTAGGATACCATGCCTGACTGGCCTTTACTTTTTAAAATGAACAAAAAGATAGTGCTGATACTGACTTCTAAATAGAGATAATGAACAGGAAATGAAAGGTTAAGATACTAATTAAAGGAAACAAATTGATTTGTTCCCTACATAAATCAAAGGAACACGTGAAGGTGTAGGATAATTATAATTTACATGTGTATAATATTGTTCTTCTCTGAAGAAAGCTATGATATATTTCAAAGCTATTAACCTTCTATGAAATAGAACTTTCTAATCCCTCCAGTAAGAAATAAAATTCATGATTTTTAAAACTTACTTCATACTAATAAAAATACTTCCAAGGGAAGAGTATGCTATAGACAGTAGCAATTTAAGCATTCAGTGTAGTGCTCACATTATACAGGTCAGAGGAAAAGATTCCCTGCACTATTTTCTGGACTCTGTAGTAAGTCATATAAATCTTACTCAACATATTAAGTTACAATTGTTTATGTGATTACTCTCTTTGACTTAGTTCTCCCAGGATTGGATTGCTTCTGTACAAGTGGCCCAAACAGTACTTTGTCTACTCCCTCATCACACCAGTCACCTGACATTCTCTGTGATAAGATGCTAAAATACATAGTTAAGCAAACTCTGAGAAACTTATAGTCTGACAGACAGAATAGTAGGGGAGGAAAAACCAACAGGATCAAGACAAGCACATAGAGGAACACAGGCCTAATAAAATAACACTGCTATTGTATGATGGTTTACAACATCACCACCAAAAAATCGAAAGCTGGGTCGGTCAGTTTTTGTAAGGTTTAGGTGGCAAACAGCTCTTAGCTTTTGTCTTCAGGTTAGTGGAATTAAGTCAAAGAGAATCTTAAACCATATGTAATAAATCACATTAACTGTCATTTTAAAACCAAATAGTAAAAAAAGGGCTTTTATATTCTGGTCTGGTAAATTGATCTTTGATATTGAAAAGTTTAAATGAACCATAGCTAAGTATTATATTTTGCTATGAGATGTGAATTTATTTCTAAATCACCATATACTTCTATCTGCAAATCTTCACCAGTACAAACTGAGTACAAACTCAAAACTACTTAAACTACAATAAATCAGACTTTCTGCTCACTGTATAGTGCAATTCCACAGAAACATTTAATTATCCATTCCCTTGTTCAATTTGAGACAGTCTCACAATGCAGCCCTGGCTGGGTGCTGAGATTTCAGGTATAAGTCACCACTTCAAGCTCAACATTTAAATTTAATATATTTGCACCACTTTGAAATGTACGCAAAGTTCAAACAGCCCCCTACTTAAAGCACTACTTTGTTTTAGATACAATGTGGGGGGAAAAAAGGGATTGAGCCAGTATATTTTTAAAAATGCTTTCTGCAACCTTATTTTGAACTTCCCTGATAACTTTTTAAATGCAGGAATGGTTTAAATAACATTTGGCAAAGATGCCAAATACTTCTATTTCACAATATCCTAAAATGTTCATGATGGTGTTGAAGACATTAAGTGACTAAGTTCCACCAGCACACTGGAAAACGGTTTTCTCTTGTCTATAAAGTCAATGTCTTTTACCCATAAGGTTCACTCGTTTTCTTGAGTGTCTTTCAAAAAGAAAAACCATTTAATTAAAAATCAACTAACTGGTTGTTTTCCTTTTGTTGTCCATACTTTTGCGTAAAAAAAAAAACTGACAATAGAATTCATTTCAGCTGTGGATGTTACATCTATGTCTATAAACTAATTTGAATTTTTGCATACGGTGCAAGCTATATATTTTTACATATTTTTCCCCTTTACATAGGGATATCCAACTGTTCCAAAACCCTTTGGTGAAAAGACTACCCCCAGTAAAGTATTTTAGGCGTCCAGAGCAGCCTTTTCTGTAGTCTGAAAGAAGGTGTGAACCTCTGGCTGATGGGAAGTGCGCTCACCCCAGCCAAGCCTTAATGAGCTGTGTTACTTTCTAAGCACATTTGCCTTCCTGTGCATCTTCCGATGGTCTTGTGGAGTTCTGTCTGAGACATGTACAGATCAATATTCTGGAAATTCTTTGAGGAGGAAAGCTGACACCATCCCTATTACTCTTCTCTCAGGGATTCAGGCAATTGCTTCACCTTTTTTCTTCACTTTTCCAGGTCTTTACACAGCAGGAGAAGGATTCGTACTACAGTTAATTCTTCATGAAGGACAGCTGCTGATTTACTTTGAACTAGCATACTCGTGAATAGCTCTCAAAGCTTACCGAAGGATTAGTAACCTTTTCAGGTTTAATTTCTTTTTTTAGTATTTTGCTATTTCTTAAAAAAAAATCCATGATCTGGCTATCATTTTTAGAGTCCTTATTTTTCCTCTATTTTTTTTACATAAATCTTGCAAAGAATTTTTGTCCTGTTTTTGTATGTTAACATCTTCAAGTATAAAACAGTTCCATTGACTCTTCCACAAAATAGGTACTTTAGGGGCTGGGAAGGTGGCTCAGTGTTAGAGTGCTTGCCCTGCATGCATGAGGCCCTGGGTTCGATTCCTCAGCACCACATAAGCAAAAAGCAAAAAGCTGGAAGTGGCGCTGTGGCTCAAGTGGTAGAGTGCTAGCCTTGAGCTGAAGAGCTGAGGGACAGAGTTCAGGTCCCACGACCAGACCCCCTCCCCCCTTCAAAAAAATAGGTACTTTAAAATTAAACATAAATCTAACAGTTATAACTAGAAAGAAGACAAAAATGTGAGATTTCTGGTGCTGAAAAAGGAATTTACATGCCCTCCCTTTAAGCCCTTCATCCAGAATGCAACAAGGGGCACACTAAAAGACTGTAGGTAATGCTGGCTTCCTTGGCAGTGCACCCCATGGGTCCAAGGCATGATCCTGCAGTGCTAGCTACTTGGAAGGCTGAGACTGGAAGGATCGTGGTGTGAGACTAGCAGGAGCATAAAGGTTCACAGGACTCCTTGTTACTCCTTCTTGACCAATAGTGAACATGATGTCACACACACCTACCATCCCAGTGTGTGAGGAAGCATAAATAGGAGATCACAGTCCAAGCATGTACTCAGGCAGAGAGAACTTATCTCAAAAAGAACCACTGCAAAAAAAAAAAAAAAACCTGGAGGCATGACTCATCTATAGAGCGTCCACTAAGCAGGCACATAAGACTTTTAAATTTTTGTCAGTAAATTTCCTGAGAGCTGAAATGCTGTAGCTATATCTATAAATAGAATATCAGTAGATGAAGACAAACTAAAACTTCCTTTAAGAAAACAATAATACCTCAAGTTTCATAATCTTATGATAAATGAATGTCATAAATAGTAAATAGTAAGGGTGTACACATTTATATTAAAACAGCTTTTCCCTTGTTCTTACCAACTGAGTTACATTACTATTTAAAAGATGATTAAAAAGTCCCTAATTCTGAGAAATACTACTTAAGGCTCAGCTTTGGCTGTAGGTGGGTCTCTTTCTAGTTCAAATAGGATCACTTTTTCATGAACTCTCTTGTTTACAAACACCATATTCCATATTAAGCACAATTTATAGATTGATGTAATTGCAACATATTATTATGTGGCTATCCTTCAGCTTCTCAACTTTTCTAATAAATATGGAACTAAAAGCTACTTCCAGAGAACAAGAAGAACTATTCAGAAATGAAACAGAGTTACTAAAGTCCTTCTCTGTTACATACAGAGGACATACAATCAGCTCTCATTTGCCCTTAGCAGCTGGTCAGCAGGCATGGCAGTTGAGTTTGGTCATGGTTTGATGCCACTGCTGTCAGAGACTTCCTGTGTCATTATACCCAGCAATGGCACCTCAGAAAAGCTTCTCTGTCTGGAGAATACACCATACTTGAGGAAGGAAGGGTCAGTTTATTACCTTCAACTGTTCTAGAGCAAAAGGAGAACCATCTTGTTGTAAATTTTCCATAATCTTCTCCACAGTATTGGCTGAAAAACAACTATTAAGAAAAAAGTGTGATTTTACCAAGGTGCAAGTGAATTCCTATCTCTAGGATAACAACAGATCTGACTGAACGCTTCTCCCTAACCTGGTACCAATAATGAAGAATTATTTAGCCTGTTTTATAGGATAAGGAAATAGAAAGCTCTTTCCTTGTGAAGGGTGTTGACAGCCTACCATCATTAGTTCAAAACAAAACTTAAATCTCTTTTCTTTTGTTTTTATTACATTGATGGACCTATGTATGAATAAATATCTCACTGTGAAAAACTGATGCTTTTAAAACGAAGAGATGGAAAAATTATCTTCTAACAGTGTTTTTCCTTCCTTCCTTAGACAGTGTGCAATTTCTTACATCACTGCACACTTTTCCTGGTTGACTTAATAAGCTCTTCAGAGAAAATGACTTTACAAAGATAAAAACTGATTCAATTATTATTTTGTAGCCTCTTTCTCCATTTTTTAAGACGTTATTTTGTGTTGGGTACTGGTGGCTCATGCCTGTAATCCTAGTTATTCAGGGGGCTGAGATCTGAGGAAGGCAGTTCAAAGCCATTCTGGGCAGGAAAGTCCACCAAACTCTTATCTCCAATTAGCCACCAAAAAGCTAGAAGTGGAGGTATGGCTCAAAGGGTTGACTGTTAGCCTTGATCAAAAACTATCAGGGACAGTATTCAGACCCTGAGTTTAAGCCCCAGGACTGGCACAAAGAGAAAAAACAAAGTTGTTTTGCATTTAAATGGATTAATATAGAAGAACATTTAACTAGACAGTGATTACTTATTTCCCTTTCAAAGAGCAAGAAGGTTCTTCCAAGTTTACATAAACATAAAAGCACTATGCTATCTGAACTCAGAATTTGCTACATAAACACAATAAAAATGTTCACAAATTCAATTGAACAGACTCTTTCCAAAGGAATATAGTAGATATAACTGAGTTATAAGTACCTGTTTATGCTGTCCGTATGTTCCTCAAGTATAAAAGACTTGTCTTGATCAGTCTTGCACTGTTTAAAAATAATTTGAAGAAATTAAAACTGCTTTAAATGCTCCAAAATTTCCTACTTAATTATACACTTTGTAACAGATTATCACTTTCAGTAAAATTACATCTAACACTCTCATAAATAACTACCACCATATGCTCAAAATTCAGACAGTATGTATACAGTATTCTAGACTGGTTCTTGTATCTTTATTTAAATATTAAAATTGATAAACTATTGTGTAAATCCAAGAACTTAAGAGATCTGAGAGGTCACCCTGACACATCTATTTAATCTACCATTCCCGGTGTCCCTGCAGCTCTGACCTCCAGGGATAGAAAACAGCACCCCAGGAAGGTGCTCCCAAGTGCTTGGCAATACAGTAACTAGGCCGCTGTTGTTTTAACCCTGGGCCAAAAGTCTGTCTTCTAGACTTTCTACTTTGATTTAATCCCTTGATTACCAAAATTGTTTCTCATATAACACAGCTGTGTGTATCCTCACAATCCAAGTCTTCTTCATGAACATGTCTCAGTTTACCAAGGTCATTCTTCACTGCAGGTGATGCAGAATTATAACACAGTACAATACTGGATACAAGACTTTCACTAAGACAACTGGCTCTGGGTTTGGGGAAGGCCTATTGTAGAACTTATTTGCACGGACCTCCACTTAATTAAGATTATTTAGGAAAAAAAATCAGTGTGTGGTAGAGCTCCCTCATCCTGTACTCATGAGTACAGTACTTTGGATGGGTCTCTCTTATAATTTTATATGTAATGCCAACCACAGTTATCAGTTGTACATTGCATTATACAATCTGATAAGTACCTGGATGCATCATTAAGGGGTCCATGCATATCAATGGTATATAGTATTTCTTTTCCTCCCAATGTATTACTTGGGAGTGGGATGATATGCATTTGGTTCTTCAGGCCAGGTGGTCGAGGGAGGTTCAGGTCTTCTTGATATACACGCTCCAATTCTCAGTAGAGCACCACTACTCCTGTTCTTGGCTAGATCTGCTGGACTTTTGGAGTTCTAACTGCTGATTTTTTTTTAAAAAAAAATTAAACACAATCTTCTTATCATCCTTCTTCTCCTTTTCCTTTTAGTAGATCTGGAGACAGAACCTAGGACCTTGCACAGGCTAAGTAAACACTCCACAATTGACTACAATTTAGCTTTAGCCCAACACCTGCACACATCTTCAGAGATTCCTGGCTCTTCAGAAGGGCTGAGAGCAGGAATCGGGTTACTTCTTCCTGGCTTCAGCACTGAAGGATGATCATAGCGTTTGCAGGTCTAAGTTAACTACTGAAGGCCTTCTCCTTGCAAGCTTTCATTATAGACATCTCATTTCTGTTGTCATCTCATTTTCCCCTTTCATTGCTCTATTATAATTTTAGTTCAGTTTCAGGGAAAAAAGCAGATAGTTAGAAACTACAGGTTTTTATAGATACTTGGCTTTTATATAAAGGAACTCAAGTTAGGTAACGTAAGGAATTAAATCCTGTAATATATTTTATTATTAAAGATTTAAGAGTTTTATTTTAGTAATCGCAAAAATAATGTGAACACTGGGCCTCCAGTACAAAACTGCAGTGTGTTGTAAAAATCCCTTCCAAGGCTAATGACAAGGCAAGCTGTGCAGCTGCACACTAAAATGTCATCTTTTCAGACAGCAATGCTAAGGGGTGTGGAGGGCTGACCCTCCCTCCATGCTTTAAAGTAAAAAAAATCCCCAGTACATGTATAATGTTTCTCAACTATTAATTTTTTAATCACTTTTCTTTCCCCATAAATGAAAACCTTCAGGTTAGAACACTGACAAGATTACCTCGGCATGGTAGGTTGCTAAGACATTTGCAACATTTTTTGCTGAAGGAGATTTCAAGGCTAACAAATCTTGCTCTAACATGGACATCTAAAGGGGAGAAAAGAAAAACAGATTTGAAACACCATAAAAACACAGAAAGCTTTTCTTCTCCTAATTATTTTATGATTTTTATTTTTGGTGGTACTGGGGTTTGAACTCAAAGCTTCCTACTTGTTAGGCTGAGAGATATCTGAGCCCTGGCACCAATCCCGTCTTTTAGACAGGGTCTTGCATTTTCTCTCAGGCCATCCTTGGACCTTGATACCCCTCCCTGCACCTCCTGAGTAGCTGGGACATCTGGCATGAACCATCACACCTAGCTTGTTTGGTTTTGCTTTTTTTCCTTTTGGGAAGATAGAGTCTTGCTAACTTTTTTCTTGAGCTGGCCATATACCTGAATCCTCCAGATCACTGAGGCGACGTCTCCTGAGTGGCTGGATTACAGGCATCAGCCACCACACTGGCTAAAAGCTTTTTGATAGAATTCTTGTCTAAAATTATGATACTCTCTCTTCAGCTGGGTCATTGAAATAAACTGGATTGAAGGCAGAAAATGCTGCCTTGGAAGGAATGAACCAAGATGGCACTTAAAATGTAGTATCTACAGTCTGAAATCCGAAACACTTCTGGTCCCAAGCATTTCAGATAAAAGATATCCAAAGTATATTGCAACCAAAGGTCTGACTTATAAAAATCACATGTCTAGTGGCTACTCTGCTCCCTGCCTAACACCATATACAATCCACTTACCTTTCTATTTTCTTATATACCTAACTTACAACTAAATGGGACCATTCACTATTTTCAAAATAGCTGAGGTTTTCCTGTCCTTGTTTTTTTATTCTATGTGGAATGCTTTTTCCTGACAATACACACCCTAACATCAGTAAATATGAAACAATTCTGGTATTTTCTTACAGGAAAGCTCTTCTTTTTTTTCATACACTATCCTTAATGTGTACCACTCTCTTTTTTTATTTATTATAGGCCCCCAAATGGGCCATTTATCTGCTACAGACACTATCATTGGACAAGCTGAAGAAAAGTGAGAACTATGCATCAGCTCTCTCTCTTACACTAACTAAATCCACCATACTAAAGGTGTCCCCAGAGTGGACAGTGGAGGGCCCACATTTGCTAAGGGTAAGGATCAGACAGTTGCTTACTCAGTGTAGCTAAGGATAGGCAAAACATGGAGAGAGAGCTGAAATTTCAGCCAAATAGAGGGGACTTGTAACAAATGTGCACTTCGCACATTTTACAGGATCTATAATAATGTGAGAAAAATCTAAGGCTCATTAAAATACAAAATGTTCACTGCCAATTTATAAAGTTTGTGAAGAGAATTCTATTAGCGTCCAAACAATGCATTTTATACTATCTAAATGTTTTAACTTCAATGGCAGGCCAGAGGGGATACATGAGAGTAAAGAACTTTATAATTTGTTAGTAGCCTTTAGAGATTCATATAATAGTCCAAAAGCCAGAGTAATCTCTAGTATCAAAATAATTAAAATTTGAATTCTTTTTTTGTTGTTGTTGTTGTTGGCCAAGCGGCTTGAACGTAGAGAGTGGGTGCTGTCCAGGAGGCTAGCATTCCATCATTTTGGGCCACAGTGCCACTTCTGGTTTTCTTGTGGTTAATTGGAGAGAAGAGTCTCAAGGACTTTCCTGCCCAGGCTTGGCTTTGAACCTTGAAATTCAGATCTCATGAGTAGCTAGGATTACAGGAGTGAGCCACCAGTGCCCAGCTGAATTCTTAATATAGGCCAGTTACTGCACTACGCATATAACATAAATTTTCTAATTCAACTTTTATAATAGTCCTTCCACTATTCTAAATGCCATGTCCTCAAGATCAGATATTCATGTGAAGTTATGTACTTCCTGGGAAGTAGAGTTCACCCTATAGCTCCACAGATAGAGACCATTACACAGGACAGGCCCGCCAGCTGGTGCACACACTTATGTGGTTCAGAGGTGAGATAAGCCTGTTCATCAAGAAAAAAACTAAGTCAGAGGAAGTAGAAGAAATCACAGATCTTTGTCTGAGACTCTGGGATAAAATCACCTCACATTATTTAGCACTTCCTGATATTACATATAATATTAGAAGCTTGAACTATGATGATAACACTAATTCCTCATTTTGGAAGCCAAAGTTAAATTCAAGAAAGGACTAAAATTAAGGCCTATCTATCGGCATACTCTTCATCACTATCCAGTGCTAAGAACATTGGCCATCTAGTTAGAAAAAGAAAATGATGAAACAAAACAGGCAGATAAATAACATGCAATCTTCTTGAAGCAAACATGCTTTAAAAAGTCACAAAAAACATATTTTGCAATGCAATTATATGAACTGCACTAAGAAAACTTAGAAACAGAAGAATTCTTCAAGAATATTCTTACAGGAAGTGGCCTGTTGGCTGAGGGACAGCGCCCAGGCCCAGAGTTCAAGCCCAACAACCAACAAAAAAAATGAAAGAAGGAAGGAAAGAAAGAAAAGGAAGGAAGGAAGGAAGGAAGGAAGGAAGGAGGGAAGGAGGGAAGGAAGGAAGGAGGGAAGGAAGGAAGGAAGGAAGGAAAGAAGGAAGGAAGGAAGGAAGGAAGGAAGGAAGGAAGGGAAGGAGAGAAGGAAGGAAGGAAGGAAGAAAGAAAAAGAGAAAGAGAAAGAGAAAAAGGAAGGAAGGATATTCTTACAAAATAAAAGGTTCCTTTCATTTTACATAGGGAAAACTGAGAATCAAGATGCTTACACACCTTCTCTCAGAAGGTCAAGGATTCACACACACACATCTACCTTGGGGTCTCAACCACCCATAACATTTTCCTCATACAAAACAAACACCCAGTTACCTTTCCAGAATCTACAAAGTGTGTGGCAATTCCTGCTCTGTACACATCTCTTCCTTTTAGTCTGAATCCTGTTAATGCAAGAAAGTAGCCCAGTTTTCCTGGAAGTCTTGGCAAAAAATAACCTCCACCCACATCAGGGAATAGTCCTGTAATTAAATATAACAAAAAGTGATTAACGATGACTCAAATAAAGATGAACATACATTTTTCGTTTACCTATTCATTTCTCTCTGGAGTTCTCATCAGTATGGCAAAGAGTATTAAGCTAGGTACTACACAGTACAACCAGTACAAAAAACTTGCTATAAATTGTGCTAAATTAGTATTAACATTTTTCAAAATCTGCTTATTTCATGTAGAAGTCAATAAACTGTCAGATGGCACAATATTTTGCATAGTATAAGTAATCAATAATGCTACCTAAATTTTCTTATCACTAATTAATATAATACATATAGTAAAACATTCAGTCCAAGGACTATTATATGCAAATTACCATTTAAATCACTTAATTTTGTAATATTGTAGATGAAGACTGATACAATAACCATTACTTCTATTGAATGAGTAAGTTCCTAAGTAATAAAATCTTTTGCACTTGTTCTTTTCCTAACTGGCAGCATAAATATGAGCATAAATCTTTAAATTCTTTCAGGTTCTAATTGCTAAGAAATTCCTAGAATTAAAGAGTAAATAGAATGCTACTGAAAGTGGAGATCTTAGTACATCAAACCAGAAGGTCTGAAGTTGAACCAACCTCTCCCTAATTTCTACCATTACTCACCTCCACAAAGAGAAAAATCATCCAGACTGACACCCATTATCCTCACCAGAACCTACAACATCCTACTGATTACCCTCCAGAGTGATCTTTGTCAAACACAAATCTTGATCAGATTCCTTGCATTCAACTCCTTAAAACCTTTCCATGGTTTCCCTTAAATTAAAACAATCACGCTTACCAATTCAAAATCTTCCAGGGCCTATTACATATTTAACTACTCAAGATACTCCAGTCACTCAGCTTTGTTTTTAATTTGTCCAACCTGTCCAGGGGTTCAGCTTGGCAGTATACTGCCCAAGTGAAAACACCCTCTTATCCTGAAACATGCTCTCTTCTAGGTCATTATATTCTCCCAATTACCCTTGCCTCCACTACCAGTGGCTGTTTTTTTCTAGTTTCCCTGGCTGGCTCTTCCTCTTTTGATTGACTGTCAAATGTTACAGAGTCCAAGTTTGATATTAGATGACTTCCTCTTCCCTGAGTTTACATTTTCCTTAGATCTTCTAGCTTTAAGTAACATCTACATGATGAATAGTCTTGTTATAGACTGAACTGTGTCCCTCCAAAGTTCATATATCCTTCCAATATTCATAACTACAATATGGTTATGCACAGACAGAGCCTTATTAAGTATGGCAGCCTAGCAAATTATTCACTGCTAAAACCAGTTACACTTTTCCCCTTGAATATCACACTCTTACATCTGCCTTGTAGGTAAAACTATAGCTAATAAGTATCTCCTAAACCACATGCTCACACTACAATGTACCTTCCTTGATCAGCCTTAACTATTGAGTAGCACAAATAAATACTTGGGAGTCATCTAGGATTCCATGTATGAGTGAGCTATTTAACTCCCGTAATGTTTTCCAAGTCTATTCCTCCTATTCAATGTTATTCCTCCACACTATTTCAAACTGGAATTTCCTTTCTCTAGCTCCGTACTGTCCAGTACAATATGCTGCGCTGATAAGAATATTCTGCTGTCCAGTGAGGTCGCCACCAGCCGTATGTAGCCTTTAAACAGATGAAATATGGGTGATGCAACTGGAGAAGATTTTTACTTAAAAGTTTAAATTTGCAATGGGTAGCTAGTGGCTAAGTACCAGACAATGTAGTTCTAGCTTGGTGTAAGGACCTCCTAACCAATCTCACTGTTAATATTAGGGCACCTTTACAAGACATTATCTTCAAAGCACCAAATGGTGGTCTAAAAGTAGACTGTGTCACTCCCTACTACACAAATCTCCCATGGTTTCTTACCAAACTCACTGCTGGAGGTGGCTGTGTCTCTTCAAGAGCACATTCCATCACTCTTTCCCTAGATTCAGACCCACTTGCACGTTTGATTTGCTGAAAAGGTTCATTCTCACTTTTGGGTTTTTGAGCCAACTTTTCTCAATGCCACACATTCTATTCTCAGGCCTTACTTAAACTAGCTCCTTCCTATCATTTCCTCAGCTTGTCTCCTTAACCATCCAACCTAACATGACCATCCAGAAAAATTACACCATGGGCAAAACAGTCTACCAGGGACCACGATTACATCCCTGCCTGAAACAACTACCAAAACAGACACATGGCAAGCATGGTAGCACACACCTCTAATCCCAGCACCTGAGAAGCAGAGCAGGAGAAGCATAAATTCAAGGCCAGTTTGTACTGCATAGTGAGATGCTGTAGCAAAAACCCAAGGGTGCCATGAGCCTGTGGCTCACACCTATAATCCTAGCTACTCAGGAGGCTGAGATTTGAGGATCGTGGTTCAAAGCCAGACTGGACAGGAAAGTCTATGAGTCTCTTATCTCCAATTAATCACAGAAAAAGCCAAAAGTGGTGTTGTGGCTCAAAGTGGCAGAATGTAAGACTTGAACAAAAGGAGCCAAGGGACAGTGCCCAGGCCCAGAGTTTTGCCCCAGGACTGGCAAAAAAATAAACAAAACAAAACAAAACAAACAACAGAAAAAAACCAAGGGTTAGAAGTACAGCTAAGGAGTAGAGTACTTGCCTAGGATCTGCAAGACCTTTGGTCTGCTCCCTAGAACCACAAAAATATATAAACCAATGTGCACACTGCACATCAGACAATAAAGGAAAATAATCTCTAAGTATCAGAAGACAAGCAAGGTACAATAGCTCCAGTTTAATGCCTTGGGAGTTTCCAGGCCTGGCATAATCCTTCATTTGATAAATGAAGTTAAGAATCCAGAGAGACCCGGGCATCTATAATTACCAGAAAAGTGTACTAAGGAGGAGATAGCAAGAGAGAGTGCAGCAGAGAGAGGGGAGAGAGAAACAGAAAGACAGGAGGAGAGAGGGAAGAGAGAAGAGAGAGACAGAGACAGAGAGAGAATATGAACTCTGGGTATCTGAGAAATGGGCAATACATGTGTATGAGGCAACTTCATGAGACTAGGAAAAGATTAGGAGAAACTGAACTGGGAATCCACAAGAAGGCTGAGACAATGCGTTTCCCCACTAGTCAGACTAGCAAAAGTAATCATTCATAGGCACTGGACAGATGATGATGCCTGGGGGGAGGGAGGATCAGGAGGGTAATAATTAATTAGCATTCACATTAGCACTGCTCCAATTTTTCAAACAATAACAACAATAAACAAATCCAAAGTAGATGAAAGGAACAAACTGCTTGTAAGTAATTGAAAACTTTCTGGTATTTTACCTAGTCCTGTTTCTGGCATTGCAAAAACAGACCGTTCAGTAGCCACTCGGAATTGTCCGTGAACTGAGAGACCAACTCCCTACGGAAATAAGAAAAAAGATTTTGGCTTAACAGTATTGCAGAAATTAAAAGCATAAACCCACAAATATCATAAAGCAAATAAAATATATTTATTTCCCACCAGAATGTGTTACAAAGGATAGGTTGGAGGAAAGCTCTAAGCCACAAAATTTCAAATGAGCTCTCTGAATGAAAAACATAAGGAATCCTTGATATTTGAAATTGATTTGTTGTAACCATATACTCTTTGCCCTAACTCTGTCACTTCAAAATAGATGCAGTTTAAGACATGATAATGGGGCAAAGTGAGTGTAATCAGAGTATATTATGTGCACAAGAAAGTGTGGTGATGAAATTCATTAACACATACCAAAAAACACTGACTCTGCCCAGAACAACTTAGTGTTGTTTATTGGCAGCATAAATAATAACCATCACAAGCTAGTCCAATAAATATATATTGAACCTATCTTATTTACTTACATATTTTATCACTTTTCTCATAACACTTCATGAGGCCTTAAAATCAGTTACTAAAAGATTTGACTGAGAATCTACTTCAAACTTACATGTTATTTAAAAAGGTATGTATTATTATCGTCTTATGAGGAGTCCATGAAGACAAAGTTCATAAGCTTGAGCTTGCTCTTATCCCTGTAATTGCCTGCATTATTATGCTCTTTCTCCTCACTCAGAACTTCTTATTCTTGTAGTTCTTCTCATTCTTAATTCTTTTGAACCACTACTCTATCACTGACATCACAGAGTAAAGTAAGTTAAAATGTGTATTTGCTCTCAACAGGAGTTTGGTAAGCATTAGCTAAATATAAAGGGTTTCAGTTCTATTTGAGTCTTCTAGTTTTTCATTAAAAGTGCCTCAATTCAAATGCTTTCATACTCAGTTTAGTCACTTGCAAATAGTTAAAACTACCAAGCCTTTCTTTTTTTTTTGGGGGGGGTCAGTCATGGGGCCTGAACTCTGGGCCTGGGTGCTGTCCCTCGGCTCTCAGCTCAAGGCTAGCGCTCTACCACTTGAGCTACAGCGCCACTTCTGAATTTTTTCTTTTTGCTTATGTGGTGCTGAGGAATCGAACCCAGGGCCTCATGCATGTAAAGCAAGCACTCTACCACTGAGCCACCTTCCCAGCCCTACCAAGCCTTTCTTTAAGAAAATACTTAGACATATACATAATTTTGCATAAACTTTTTGTGCTATACTACTTAAAATTTAATAGATCATGTTCATAAACATGGAAATGAATAAAATTCTTTGGTCACTACATCTTTATGCCACCACCTATCAGTTATATCTACCATATTAGAGTCTCCTTATATAGACAGCAGAATTATGTTTTAGGTACTATGTTAGGACACAGTCAACTGAAAATATTAACCCCAATGAGATTGTACATACTTTATAATGAAATCTCACAGTTCTTATAAAAATAAAACACTAGTTACACTGATAATTTCCTTACATTTGGGAGGAAGGGTGGCACTGGGTTTTGAACTTAGGGACACTTGCCAGGCAAATGCTCAACTGGTTGAGTCATGCTCGCTATCTTTGTTTTAGATTATTTCTCAATTAGGGTCTTGCACATTGCCCAGTGCAAACTGTGATGCTCTACTGCACACCTCCTCCACACCATGTGTACCTCAGATTACAGGCATGCACCACCATTCTCAACTTGTTTTATGATACAGGGTCTCCATAACTCCCTTTCACCCCTAGACTGGTCTCAAACCACAATACTCCTTTTTGTACCTCCCATCTAGATAGATGTGTTTACATGTCTGTACCGTAACACTTGGTTCATCTATATTATTTTAAGAGCCCTTTCCTTGCATTTTATTCTCAACTTTTCAGAAATGTATTGCTAAGAATTTATAAGAAAATGTTGAGCTAAATTAGCAGTTTTTCAGTTGTCTTCTATGGATCCCAGGATTCAGAAGAATTGCCTCACAGCCGGGCGCTGGTGGCTCACGACTGTAATCCTAGCTACTCAGGAGGCTGAGATCTGAAGATCGCAGTTCAAAGCCAGCCTGGGCAGGAGAGACCGTGAGACTCCTATCTCCAATAAACCACCAGAAAACCGGAAGTGGCGCTGTAGCTCAAGTGGTAGAGCACTCGCCTTGAGCTGAAGAGCTGAGGGACAGCGCCCAGGCCCAGAGTTCAAGCCCCACGGCCGACCAAAAAAATATTAAAAAAAAAAAAGAAGAATTGCCTCACAGCTAGATCTCCAGGTCTTAACAATCAATATTGTCTCTGCTCTAATCCTTCTCCTTACTTCTCCCTACTCTTTTTTAAAAATGCATTTTATTGTAAAGATGCTGTACAGAGGGGTTACAGTTACATGATTAAGGTAATGACTACATTTCTTGATGAACTTTGTTTTTCTCCTACTATCCCTTCCTTTCCTCCCCCACTCCTCCCCAACCCAAGTTGTAAAGTTCATTTCCAACATAGTGTCTCGTGAGTATCACTGTTGCACTGTGTCCTTGTTTCAGTATTTTGTTATTCATTCCCCTTCCCCTCCCCAAATTTAATTAGCTATGAATTCCACATTTGGAGAAAGTACAACACTGAATAAAAACAAATGAAAAGGAAGTATGTGGACTATATGCTTAGAAATTCCTTTTATATTTCCTCTTACAGCTTCTGCTAGGTTACTAATATCTCAGCTAATGCATTTTTTTCATTTCTTAAAACAATTTTAAAGTGACTATTTTTTAAAAGATTTAAAATATGTGGGATTGGAAAGGGAAGAAATTCAAAAGTTCCCCTAAAAATATTAACTGAGTTCACAAAATTATTTCATCCCTTCTCAGGTTTCATTAAGCCCTAGATTCTATTAAATGCTTTTAAGAAAAACCTTCATGACAATATAAAGAAAGCTTTCTTATTTTCAATTGTCATTAGCAGTAACAAAGTCACTTCAAACCAAAGAGTACCAATTCTAACAAACCTTTGCAAGACATTAACATATTTTTATCTTAGAGGATTGTTCATTCTTTTCATAAAAAAGGACATGTCTCAAGTAACACTCATCAGTAGCTAAATATAATCTGATTGAAAAGCTCCCATTTAATGGCTCACATTCTATGTGGTTGGTCTATGTCCTATAAAACCATTTGGGAACCGTACAGGCTCACTGTTTCTAATCCCACTACCATTCCCAATCAATCACAACATACAGAAAGAAAGAGTTCAGCCACAAGCCTAGCTAACTCCATTTTGTCCCTTTCTAGCTCTCTTTTGCCTCTTTAACTTTTTGCCTTCTGAGTCTTTCTTCTGAGTAACAAAACCAGCAGAACTGATGGGTAAACATCTATGACAAGGGACTGAAATCATCCCCAAAGTATGGTGAGACTTGTAGAATATATCACCCCAATATAACTTCCCCAAACCAGAACTAAGGCAATAACCAAGTAGTCCACTGGTTTGACCAAGATAACCTGTGCTAACTTCCAACCCCTAGCTTTGTTTCCTTTGCTATACAACTCAAAATTCCTGTCAGCGCCTTGGAAACAGACCTGGGGTCACTGAACCCCTTTGATCTTCCCAAGGTGATCACTGACTAAAGCTCCTTTCTTGCTCTCCAGCACTGCTCATCTCTTCTGCATGTGGGGACAGGTGGCAGCTGAGTCTGTTGGCAGCCTCAGAGCTGAGCTTTATCCCTGTAACAATCCCTTCCTAAAACATACTTCCCAACTATTTTCATTATTGATCATGAAAAAAGGGTAAAAATTATTTTCTTCTACCCTGAGTTTTTAGCTGGAACCTCCATTACAGAAGACAGGTCAATAAAGAGAGAAAATAAGCAGGTGTACATGGGAGGTATAAATAGGAAAGTTGGACGTCTCCAAGAAGCAGCCTAGAACTCTAGTTTATATAGTCTCTTCAACTAAAGAAAGATATAGGGAGACAAGTTATAGGAAGATGTGCAGGAAAAGGATGGAAAACAAGAGTCATGTTTGTTTTACAGGATAAACATTGGTGTCTTCTCCACAGGTAGGTATTTCAGGTGATGCAGGCATCCCTCTCCTAGAGGAGAAGAGAGACAGAGAGAGAGAGAGAGAGAAAGAGAGAGAGAGAGAGAGAGAGAGAGGGAGGGAGAGGGAGGGAGAGAGACAGAGAGAGAGAGAGAGAGAAAGAGAGAGAGAGAGAGAGAGAGAGAGGGAGGGAGGGAGGAGACAGAAAGACAGACAGAGAGAGAGACTCCCTTACAAATACAGATTTTTCTTATGGTATAACTTTCCTTAGAAAAGGATAACTTGTACAGTTTTCAGAACTTTTCCTGTTCCTACTGTTTCTCAAATAGTCCTATGACAAAGTGATCTATTTGGTGTGTCATATCTTGTTTGTCTACAATTGCAATCCTTCTGTTAGAGCAACTTAAAGGTACTTTGAGAAACACAAAAACAAGTCCACTTTACACCCATAATTTGAGTTGGCTTGGAGGAGTCAATACTGTCTTCTTTATAAAATTTAAAGGTGGGGGGAGGGTTGGAGGAGGGAAACAAGTTTTCTTTAAATCCAGTTCAGTATACATAACTTCAAAAACTGCTTAAGGGCTGGGAAGGTGGCTCAGTGGTAGAGCGCTTGCCTTGCATGCATGAGGCCCTGGGTTGGATTCCTCAGCACCACATAAGCAAAAAGAAAAAAAGCCAGAAGTGGTACTATGGCTCAAGTGGTAGAGCGCTAGCCTTGAGCTGAAGAGCTGAGGGACAGCGCCCAGGCCCAGAGTTCAGGCCCCACGACCAGACTCAAAAAAAAAAAAAAAACTGCTTAAAGGGAAAGCCAACAAATTTAAATACTTTTTTTTCTTGGAAAGAAAATGAAGTATTATTTTAAGTATCTCTCTAGAAACAAATACACTAAAACGCCATAATTTTACAGAATTTTGATCAACTATGTAGAGAACCACTTAGTAACATTCATTGTTATTTTACTATATACCAAAATACTGAGTATATATTTGAATTTCAGAAACCTGCAACAATAGAATATAGCCTTCTCCTCTATAAAATGCTGTGTGATGGATAATGAAACATTAAAATAATGCTGGAGAAAAATACTTTCTACAGAAAAAAAAAAGTGATGGGGTAAAAATGAAGTTCTGTAGCGCCATCTTTTGGACTGCTAAATTTGCTACATTAGAAGAAAAAAATTACTGACCAAAATCAAAATAATCATTATTCATACTTTTTATTAAAGCCTATTTGCCTCATTTTATCCTGTGTTTAGTTTGTTAAATTAGCTGGTTATTGGTCTGAGTCTGTATCTTGAGTACCTGTGTAACAAACTATAACAAAACTCAACCTTAGTATACTTTAGTAAGCATCTATGTTTCAGCCGATCACAGGAAACCAACTAATTAAGACCATGCCCAAATGATGCAAATTTTACTTTTCCCCTTAGCTCAGTCTACAAAAATTACCTGCTTTTGCTGCCAAGCTGAGCTCACGAATGAGTGCTGTCTGACCATAAGATTTCTTTGCTCATTCCACTCAAAGCATTGTAAAAAGCATTAATTTGTAGAATTCTGACTAGAAGGGCTGATATAAAGTATACTTTTATTTAGAAAGTTATTCGTGCACTTTTCAGTAAATACAGAAAGAAAACCAGTGGGAAGAAGATTACACTTATTCAGTTCTACTCAAGACATCTGAGATTGCTATGTTCTTGTTGGGTTTCTTTCATGTTTAATTGGGGCCACATTTTCTTACATGCTATTGGTTATGCTTATTGCTTTTGCTTTCATCTTTTCCTCATTCCTTATATATCCACAAAGCAGTTATACAGCAGTACTTCCAGTTATTTCTTTTCCCCTGTTCTGAAGAACTTTCTTCATACAGTATTTTGTGTTTATATCTCTTTTCTTGAAGCAGGGCCTCATTATGTAACCCAAACTTCCACTTCCCAAGTACTGGGATTATAGGCATAAACCACCAATTACGGACACTCCAGAGCTTTTAATATCCCTAAGTTAGCACTTCCTTGAAAATAGAAGAACAACAAAACCATGGACAGTATCTACCAACTGGAAGACAGTCATTGCCTGCTCTTGATGATGCTTTCTCACTAGACACCTGCTAGTAGAATCTCTTTCCAAATGATGTGCAAGATCTAAGCCAATTCTTAGTACCCAAGAGGCTTCACTGAAGGTGGTTTTACAAGAGTAAGAGGAGAGACTTCTTCCTTTCTAAATAAATATTGAGTCAGTAGAATTTTTAGAACTTCACCCACTGATCTTGTACAACCTGCATACCTAAGTCCTATCTCTTGTATATATTTTAGAGGTCATTATCTGAATTTCAGCCCTTCCTAAGTAGGGCTGATACCAAAGGAATTCTCTGATCTATCTCTACTAAAAGCACTTCACCCCTATGTGAAAGGCCTGCTTTATGCCCAGAGAAAACAGAATGGAATGTTAGAGTGGCTGACAAGAATCTGTACAATTAAAAAAAAAAAGAATATGTACAAACAGACCTTCCTAATTTGCCTCTAACTTATTACCATTGGATCATATCACTCTTGTCCATCCATTCTTTTACTCAGCCATCTGTTCTGCATTGAAAATAAATATTAAACTACAGTTTCATTTCAGAAGTTCCTGTGACATTGTATAGCTTTGACAAATAGATGTGTCCCTCTTGACCATCTTCAAGCAGCATCAGCCATGATGGCTGGGTCAGAACAGAAGTTACTTTTTCTCCTCATCACCATCATTCTACGATCAACTCAATCCACCACCTCGCCATGTAGCCCCCTTTCTGACCACTCTCTTCTTTAAAGGATTGTCTTTGTTATACTCAGGATCATCCAATTCACCACTTGCTCTAAAATTATTTCATGTTAGCCAGTTAGATTTCTGTATAATAACAGAGGCAAAGCAAAAATGATTTGACAATTGGTTATCTACTTGTAGAAAACTAAAGCTGGATCCTTATATATCACCCTGCGCCAGAATCAACTCCAAATGGATCAAAGACCTTGGAGTCAAAACAAACACCTTGAAAACATTACAGGATAGAATAGGAAAAACCCTAGGTCTCCTTGGCGCAGGCCAAAATTTTCTTAATAGAGACCCAAAAACACAACAAAACAAAGAAAGGTTGGACAAATGGGATTGCATGAAATTGCAGAGCTTCTGCATGGCAAAGGACATAGCTTGCAGGATCAACAGAAAGCCCACAGATTGGGAGAAAATCTTCATTAGCCATACAACAAATAAGGGTTTCATGTCTAAAATATACCTGGAACTCAAAAAATTAAAATCCTCCAACAACAAATTCTCAAAGAAACCACTGCCCAATAAATAAGTGGGCTAAAGACTTAAAGAGAAACTTCTCTGAAGAGGAAAGAAGGATGGCCAATAGACACATGAAGAAATGCTCAACCTCCCTAGCCATAAAAGAAATGCAAATCAAAACAACATTGAGATACCACCTCACCCCAGTTAGAATGGCTATAATCAAGAACTCTAATAACAACAGATGCTGGAGGGGATGTGGACAGAAGGGAACTCTACTGCATTGTTGGTGGGAGTGTAAACTTGTTCAACCATTTTGGAAAGAAGTACGGAGGTTCCTCAAAAGACTCCACATAGAGCTCCCTATGACCCAGCAATCCCAATTTTGGGCATTTACCCAAATGATCACAAACAAAACCATACTAAAGCTACGAGCACAACTATGTTTACTGCAGCATTATTTACCATAGCTAAGATATGGAACCAACCCAGATGCCCATCAGTAGATGAATGAATCAAGAAAATGTGGTATATATACACAATGGAATTCTATGCCTCCATCAGAAAGAATGACATTGTCCCATTTGTCAGGAAATGGAAAGCCTTGGAAAAAATTATATTAAGTGAAGCAAGCCAGGCCCAAAGAAACATAGGTCCCATGGTTTCCCTTATTTGCAATATCTAGTATATGTCTGAAACAAGCAGAAACCATCAGATAAGTGATGTTAAGTGAAATGAACCCCAAGATAAGGACACAAGTGGTTTTTTTCTTTCTTGCTATTGTTGCTAACATATTTATAAGATGATTTCTTTGTTGCTTTGTATGTCCCTCCTGCATGGTATAATCCCTGTTTTCGCTGTATTTGATGTTGGTATAATTTGGAGAGGGGAAGGGAAAAAACAAATTATTTAAATAGGGATACAGGTGGACCCATTGCAACAATGAGATGTACAAGTCGTTATGTCAAAAAACGAACTTTACAACTTTGGCGGGGGTGGCAGAGAGATGGGAAGGGATAGGAAGGGGAAACAAAGAAACAAAGGAGGAGGCAACAATGCTTGATAAGAAATGTACTCATTATCTTGCCCATGTAATTGTAACTCCTCTGTACAGTATTTTCACAATAAAAAAAATAAAAAAAGAAATGTACTCATTATCTTGCCCATGTAATTGTAACTCCTCTAAATGGTATTTTCACAATAAAAAAAATGATTTGTCAATGGGCAGAAATACCATTTTAAAGAATTTCATATAAATTAAAAGCACTAACCAAGGCCTGGTGATATATGCCTGTATGATCTCAGAAACCAAAAGGTTCAAGCAGGATCATGAGTACAAGGCCAGACTAGCTTCATAATAAGTTCAGACCAACCTGGGCTACACAGTGAATTCCTGTCCCAAAATCTTTAAGCATTTCTGGTAAAGTTTTATGTACTAGCTATGATTAGCCAACCATTAAAAGCCTAGAAAAACTTAACATGCCTGTGGACCCAGCAACTCAGGAGATGGACATGAGAAGGATTGTGGTTCAAGGCCAGTCAGACAAAAAGTTACTGTGACATACATCTCAATAAATAAGCCAGGTGTGGTGGTATACACCTGTAACCAGAGCTACTCAGGAGCTGTAGGTAGAAGGATCATGGTCCAAGGCCCACTCCAGAAAAATAACTTGAGATCTCATTTGAAGGGGGAAAAAAAAACGCAAAAGAGGATTAGGGGGTATGGCTCAACTGTTAAGAGTGCCTGCCTAGCAAGTATAGGTCCTGAGTTCAAACCCTAATACCACCTAAAATTTAAAAAAAGAAAAACAAAAACAACAACAGCTGAGAATATATTCCAGTGGTAGTGTATTGATTCTTAGAATACGCAAGACCATGAGTTTGATTTCCAACACAAGAAAAAGGTCCTATAGGTAAAAAAAAGTACAAACACTCTGGCAAGCTACCTAATTTAAAAAATTAAAATATTATACACTGTAATTGAATTACAATTCAAAATAATTGGATTAAACTCCAAATCACATATGATTTTGTTTCAATGGCTTATATTGTATTATATTCTTCACTTCTGTTTAATAATTTTAGCTTGTTTTGAGTATAACTCACATCAATGAAAAGAGTAGCATCTACTTACACCTCCCATTGTGATCCCATCAATAAGTGCAACATATGGTTTCTGACAAGAGCCTAAAAGAAATAGAGCTATAATGTTAGTTGTAATATTTAAAATAGTTACCTTTTTGTTTGAAAAACACATTATATATATCTATTTTACCAAGGAAACTTTTATAAAACATATTAATATTCATAAATAAATATGCAATTTTAGATGTTAATCTAAGCACAATACAGATTATTTGTTATCATTTAACAACTCAACTTTCAAGTGGAAATAAAAGAATGTTTTGTTTTAGCTATTGAGAAGTAAATTCTGCCTTAATAAGGCACCAATGTCTATGTACACAATTGGTTTTCTTTTCTTTTCTTCCTCCTGCCCCCCACTGGAGCCAACATTTTCAGTCCAACATTTTGCTTATTAATTAAGAAAGATTGGCACAGTTTTGGATGTAAAGAACAGACAGATGTCCATTCAGTTTGGCTCACTGAGCTTAAGTGGGAAACTTGCCCTGTACCCCAGTCCTACTCATAACCCATAGAAATTACAGAAAAAGCAATTTCTACTTTTATATCCAATTTCACATCAATGAAGGAAAGTCCCCAGGTGTCAGGAACACAAAAGAAACTTGAAGCCAATAGTTGAGTGGAAACAATAGTTAAAGATTATGAGCTAGCCAATCAGCTAAATGAATAAAATTTCAGTTAGGAGCTCTTCCACTTGCAATGAAAACTAGAAGAACTTCACTGGTTGATTTTAGAACTCATAAGAACACAAGCCCTCTGCCCAGGAGAGAAAAAAAATCCAAGAAAGTAGATGTTCCATCACTTGATAAACAACCAGACAAAACAAAGCACTCTTAACAAATAGGGAACAAAGTAATAATACCCTCTTGCTACAAGGAGATATGAAACCTTCAAAACTTTGCTTCCATTGAAACCTACAACTTTGACCATAAAAATTTTTTCATTGTGGAGTTCCTTAAGAATTAAGAAATGATTCATTTTACATAGAAAGCTGAGCCCCAAGATTTTGTTTCCCACAAAGCTAGATATATGATCAGAAATCGCTATTTTTTAATTTATTTAAATTTAATTTTTATTGTTATTATAAGGTGATGTACAGAGATGTTACAAGTTACTTAAGTCAGGTAATGAGTACATTTCTTTTTGGACAATGTTACCCATTCTCTCACTCTCTTCCAGCTTTTCGCTCCCATCCCTATCCACAGTTGAATCCCTATTTTAATATTAACTTTATAACAAATACAAGTAGAGTCTACCAAAATTAAAGTGTAATTCTTCTGGAATAAGCAGTCAGAAAGTTCAACCAATTTTATTTATGCCCAATACATTGTACATAAAAGTTTCAATAAGAGTGCCTATTTTAACCAATCATACCGTCCTCCCCATTTCTCCATTGTATTTTTAATGCTCTCAACAGAGTATACCTACCAATAGTATTGTTCAGTAAATATTCTTCTCTGAAGAAATCCTGAGCCAGATTCTGCTTTGTCTTTGCAGCTTCTGAGACTGCTATGGAAGGAAAGAAGGAAACACATTGCAAATCAAAAAAGTGTTTTCTAATCAATATAGTCAAACAGATTAAAAATACTGTGGTAAGTACTGGAGTGAAGGTTCTAAAAGGGCTTAACACACTTAAACTGCCCATGTTACAGACATATTACACTTAGACACAGACCAATTGTTAACATTTTAAGGCAAAAATTTTTGTTCGATATGCTGGTGTATTATGGCATATATTTCATAATTCCCAAGGTAGGCTATAAGGTAGGCCATAGGCTTCCCCAAAGCTAGTCATATGTTCGAATTTTTCCTGCTGTCTCTTGGAGCTGGTCATGAAGACATTCTCGGCCTCACTTGTCCAGAGCAGATGCCCTCATTTGAGGAGTCCTGTACCAGACCTGGGAGAAGGAATGTTGAACAGAGGCCAAAAGGAATGTGAATGTGCAGGCAGCGGGCTTCCTTCCTCTATTAGCATTCATCATGCCCTTTTCATCCAGTCACAATTCCATGTAGCTATCCATGCTCCATTGCTCATGCAATGAAGGCTCCATAAAAATCCAAAAGGATAGAGTCTGGAGACTTGAACAGGGTAGTTCAGCTAATGGATGCTCCTCACTTCTTTTCCCATATCTTTCCCTGTGCTCTATACGTTAATGTCCTGTATCCTTTATAATAAATACCCTTATAATAAACCAGTACATTCTCTTGATTTCTACAACCATGCAAGCAAACTAACCAAATTCAACAAGTAGCTTATGGGAAGTTGGGTTTATACCCAGTGAGTCAGGAGCATAGGCAAAACAAACTTGGGTCTTAACTATTGGTATCTAAAGTGTAGGGGAAGGGAGCCATGTTGAGAATTGAGCCCTTGATCTTGGGATCTGGACACTACCCCCACCTAGATAGTGTCAGCACTGAATGGAATTATAAGACAATCAACGTCATCCTCAACAAAATTGCCTGCTTAGTATGTGAGGAATAAATCCCACACATAAAAGTGATCTGTGTAGTAAGTAGCAGAAGAAACAAAATTTGGGTCCATTTTTCCATTTACATTCTCAGACTTACTATGTTCAGATTATACTACTTTGACAAAATTATGTGAGTTTCAGATCTAAACTTTACTACATGTACAGTGAAGTCAAAAACAAATCTCTAAACTGTAACCCTTCGTACACCTTCGCAATAAAAAAAATCTCAATTCCCCTCACTTTCTAACACTAACAACAAAAGGTTAGGTCTCTATTTTCTAATTTCTTAATAATTATTATCTTTAATGGTTCTAGAAAATAAGATGAATTATAAACATCCTCAAATATTTACCTTTGTCAGTTCTTTTTTTTTTTTTTTTGGTCATGGGGCTTGAACTCTGTCCTTACACTCTTCAGCTCAAGGTGAGTGATCTACCACTTGAGGCACAGCGTCACTTCTGGTTTTCTAGTGCTTTATTGGAGATAAGAGTCTCATGGACTTTCCTGCCCGGGCTGGCTTTGAACTGTGATCCTCAGATCTCAGCCTCCTGAGTAGCTAGGATTACAGGCAGGAGCCACAGGTGCCCTGCCCCTTTGTCAGTTCTTATCAGAAAAAAAAATCACTAATATAGGAGAAGGGAATTCACCTCTTACATCACCACCAGCACAGAAAGCCTTTTCTCCAGTCCCCTTTATAATAATCAGAAATGTTTCAGGATCTTGTTCCCATTTCTATTCAAACAGAAGAAGATGGTATGAGCAAACTGTAAACATAAACTCATTCAAGATACATCCATATGTGTACATATACATACATGTGTATAGATACATTGATGGTTTTATAAAACATATCTAGAGGAGTGGATCTCATTCATTTCCTTAAGCATGGAATGAACTCCATTTTCTCTTCTGAGATAAATTAAGAGTGTATTCCATAAAAGGCTCCTGCTTGAGTACTTTGTGATCAGATTTCTTCATGGCATCACAAAATTAGTAAGCCAATTAATATTGATTAATATTAATAATATCCCATTACAGTATATGGTTCCAATTGAGCCCAAGATGAATAAATAAGGGCTTAATGATAGATTACATAAATTTGTAAGTCTGGTGAATAGCACAAAGATTGCTGATAGAGCAATTGTCATAGAGCTCTGTTCTAAGAAAAATATGCACATAACAGAATAAACAACTTACGATGTTGATGAAATATGGAATTGACTTGAATTTGGTAAGGATGACGAATAGACAAGCAGGATGGGGCACTAGGTAGAGCTGAGTAGTAGAGCAATTGTTTAGCATTTGTGAGTCCCTGGGTTTAATCTCCAGCACCACCAAAAAAATAAATGAATAATAAAAATAGAATAAAAGAATCAAGAGGCAAGTATTTTGAAAAGAATTGTCTTGAAACCAAAAGGTGACTGTCATGTGCAAGAGATTAAAACCTGCTAACTTATACTCAAAAGTAGAGCCAGGTTCACTGTTTGAAAGGTCAGAGGAACAAAGAATGGCAGACAGCTACCTAAAAGCTTCTGGAAAGGGCTGTCTCATGAAGAAAGGGTTTCCTATCACCAAGGGCATTCAATGATTATTACACTTGAAGGAACTGAGGGCTCAAGAATCAATGGGGTCAGGGTGCATATGCAAGAGAGTTCTGAAATTCCTTCTGATAAAATTCCAGAAACGTTGCAAAGAATCTAAATAAATGCTTTCAGAAAATGACAAACCTTCAGCTGGGAGTAAATCTGCCGAACCATATTCAGGGACAGCGCATTGAGGAACTTTGGTCTGTTTAGTGTTATCACTCCTGCACAACCTTTCCTTTCCAACAACACTTCTCCCAAGCCTGCCGAGTGTGTAGACATGCTCTGTGCAGATTTTAAAAAAACCCAAAAAACAAAAACTTAGTGAAAATATTTCATCATAAGCTCATAGCAAATCTTTCATATTAATAACAAAAGGAATGGATAGCTAGGCATATCTCAAAAGTTTTGGAGACTGTAAGTGAACAAATTCCAAAGTAAATTACACATACCTTTTGAATTATTTATTTTTATTTCTGAGTGAATTACATGATTTAGAATCCCCTCATCCCCTAGCGTGGAATTCCCTGGACTATAACATACTCCTAAAGTTTTTACTTTATTATTATTATTTGAGTTCTGTTATGTGTTAAGAATACAAAGTCAAAGAAAAGATAACAAGTCTTAAAAAGTGACATCTGGGCTGGGCTTTGATGTATGTAAAGAAAAAGAGAGACAAGAACTACTAGGTAGAAGAAACAGTACATGCTAGGCAAAAGACAATTGATATTTGATAATGTTAGTGTGTTAAATATGAATGAAATATGGCTGGTGGAGGAAAGGAATAATGGTGGGATAAGCAGGAAAAGCAGTTTGAGGCCAGGTGATAAAACTTCAGATTTGCATGTTACAGAATTGGGAAGAGATAGATTCCTGAACACTAACTTAGGGGCTTACACTATATACTTAATGTAACGTACAGTACTAATATAACACCTATAGGAATAGGAATTAACTAATTTTCTAAGAATCCATTACATACAATCACTAAAGTTCATGGTGCCACCAACCGTAACACCTTTTACTTATTTTTATATATTTATTATAAAGGTGATGAACAGGGGGTTACAGTTATATAAGGGAGGTAATGAGTGCATTTCTTTTGAATTTTGTTATCCCCTCCCTCATTTTCTCCTACTTACCCCTCCGCAAGCTATAAAGTCCATTTCCAACATAGTGTCTAGAGCAAGTATCATTGTTGTATTAGTTCGTCTTAACACCTTTCTTTATACAAACACAATCCTATAAACCTCACATAGGAACAGTGTGGAAAGTAAAACAGGAAGTTAGGTACACTGGAGAATTATAACTGGAGGTACCTACTGGCAGAGTGCTTGCCTAGCATGGACCTGGCTGGCTCAATCCTCCATATTGAAAAAAAAAGAACTGAAAAATCTTAACTGGAATATGCCAGTTCAAACTACACAACATGCATGTAGCAAAAATCTAATAAAATGCAACAATCCATCTTTTATAAAATCATGTTGCACTTTTAATGCTGAAATTAATTTTTACTAAAATTCATTTTCAGGCAAAAATGTTTGTATTTACCTATAAGAACTTCAGGGAAGGATATTAAAAACAAAAGACTAGCAGGCACTGTGGTTCATGAGCCTAACTACTCAAAAGGGAGGCTGAAAGAGACTAAATGTCTACATTGTAGACTCATTATGTAAGTCCAAGCAACTCAACTTACCCATGTTCAGTGGTATAACTAAAACTATATTTTTGCTATATAATATTGATACATAAACTTCATAGGAGATAGCAAGTATAACATTACAAAACCAAGAATAATAATGCTCTAAGAGTAAGAAAAACCTGTTAGTCCTGTTTTACCTGACTTCCCTATAATAACAACATGTTAAGTTAAACACTGTAAGTAATAAGGCCAGCAAAGTGAAGTCCAAACTTACCAAATGTTGTAGAATGATCCTGGTTCTTTTAAATGAACCAAACCTGAAACACATGTAAAATACGATGAGCATGGTCCAGGGGCAATCATGTCTCCATTTTCAAACTCTATAATTCTTACTTAAGCCCCTTCCAAAAGTTATTACAGCACTGGGGAGGGCATGGCTTAAGTGAGAGAGAGCACAACTGTGTACATAGTCAACACTAAGCCCTGAGTTCAAATCCAGTGCCACCAAAACAATAAGGCATTAGAACAAAATATCTTTAAAGGACTTAACTCTCATTCATTGCTGAAAGATTCAGCAATGAAATGAGAGCCATTTTGGAAGAGTTTGTTGTTTCTTACAAAATTAAATATATTAATATATTCTTGTCATATAATACAGAAACCCACTTCTTGAGTTTTGCCAAATGAGTTGAAGACCTACATCCACAAGAGAAAACCTGTGAGCCAGGAACCAGTGGCTCAAACTTGTAATCTTAGATACTCAGGAGGCTGAGATCTGAGGCTTATGGTTCAAATTTCATGCTCAGGCATGAAATTCTGTGAGACTCATCTCCAGTTAACCACCAAAAGCTAGAAGTGGAGCTGTGGCTCAAGTGGTAGAGTAAAAAAGCAAAGAAGCTCAGAGATAGTACCCACGCCCTGAGTTTAAGCCCCAGGACCACACATGCACACACACACAAACACACACACACACACACCTGCATATGAATTTTTTGCTAACTCCATCCACAATTGCCAAAAGGTATCAGTAACTAAGATGTCAAAACAGAATGAGCTATCTTCACTCACACACACACAGACACACATGTACACAAAACACATGAATGCATGTAAAAACATGAGGAAATGTGTGCAAAGCAGAAGTTAATCTGAAAAGACTACCAAATACATGAATTACAATGTGAATATACTGAAGAAGGCAAAATTATAAAGTCAAGAAAAGAGTCACTAGTTGGCAGAGGTTTGGGGAGGAAGCATGGGCAGGTGGAGACAGACATGTTTAGGACAGTGGGACACATTTGCGTGACACTGAGCAAATGAAATTGAGCGTGACACATTGTTCAACTTTTCTGTAAACCTTAAAAATGCTCTAATAAGTATTAATGTGAAGTGTTTGGTAAGGATGCAATAACATGGGCATTTTCAGACACTGCTAAGAGATTAGTACTAACTTTCTAGTAAGCAGAATGAAAAACAGATTCACAACCTTTAAAAGTTTAACTGTGTGTGATGGTATACATCTGCAGTCCCAGATAAACAGGAGCTGAAGCAAGAGGATCACTTAAGCCCAGGAATTCAAGTCTAGCTTGGACGACATAGCAAGAGACTCTATCTGGATACTGTTTTTTATTTTAATTTTAATTTAATTTTTTGTTGTAAAGATATTGTACAGAGGAGTTACAGTCACACAAATAAGGTAATGAATACATTTCCTATGGAGCATTGTTACCCTTTCCTTTGTTTTTCCCCTACCATCCCTTCCTTCCTCACCTCCCCAACTCCTCCCTCCCCTGCTCCCCCAAGTTGTAAAGTTCATTCTCAACATAGCATCTCGTACCTCTCATATGATACAATGGGTCAACCTGTATCCTTATTTCAGCATTTTGTTATTTCCTTCTCCTCCCCAAGTTATAAAAATGTATATACAAGATGCAGAGCACAGTTATATTAAGTGAAGTAAGCCAGGCCCAAAGAAACATAGGTCCCTTGGTTTTCCTTATTTGCAATAAACTAGTATATGTCTAGGACAAGCAGAAAAGGTCAAAAGCTATGTATATATGACCATATAAGATGATGCTAAGCGAGATGAACCCCAAGAGGTTTTGTCTTTGTTGTTGTTTTTAATGTACTTATAATGTACTATGTGATTTTTTTTTGTTTCTTTTGTATGTCCTTCCCCCATGGTATAACCAGTTTTCAGGGTATTTGATTCCAGTGCCCTGCATCTTGTATAGACATTTTTCTAATTTGGGGAGGGGAAGGAAAATAACAAAATGCTGAAATAAGGATACATGTTGACCTATTGTACCTATGAGATGTACAAGACACTATGTTGAAAACCAACTTTACAACTTGGGGTGGGGGGGAAGAGTTGGGGAGGTGGGGAGGGGAAAGGATGGTAGGGGTAAAACATAGGAGGAGGTAACAATGCTCCATAGGAAATGTACTGATTACCTTACTCATGTAACTGTAACCCTTCTGCACAGTATCTTTACAATTATATATATATATATATTTTTTTTTTAAAGATGCAAGGCACCAGAATCAAATACAGTGACAACAGGGGTTATTCCATACAAAAGAACATACAAAAGAAACAAAACATTACATAGTACATTAAAAACAACAGCAACAAAGAAAAAACTCTTGTGTCCCAATCCTCAGGTTCATTTCGCTTAGCATCATGTTAGATGATCATATGTATATAGCTTTTGACCTTTTCTGCTTGTCTGGTAAGATTATCATAGATGTATACTAGTTTTTGCAAATAAGGGAAACCATGGAAGAAATGCAAATCAAAACAACATTGAGTTCCACCTCACCCCAGTTAGAATGGCTATAATCAAGAAATCTAGTAACAACAGATGCTGGAGGGGATGTGGCCAAAAGAAAACCCCACTGCATTGTTGGTGGAAGTGGAAACTTGTTCAACAACTTTGGAAAGCAGTATGGAGGTTCCTCAAAAGACTACTCAGAAAACTCCACTATGATCCAGCAATCCCACTTTTGATTGAACATTTACTCAAATGATCACAAACAAGGCCATAGTAAAGCTACCAGTACAACTATGCTTATCACAGCATTATTCACCATAGCTAAGATATGGAACCAACCCAGATGTCCCTCAGTAGATGAACAGAATAAGAAAAGGGTATATATACACAATGGAATTCTATGCCTCCATCAGAAAGAATGACATCGCCCCATTTGTTAGGAAATGGAAAGACTTGGGAAAAAATTTTATTAAGTGAAATAAGCTAGACCCAAAGAAATATATTTTATTAATTTAAAAAAATCTTCCACTTCCATCTAGTAATTTCACAAGCATTTGCAGTTGATTTATACAGATGTTCACGGCAATTATTTATGTGAAGGAAAAAACTCGAAACAAAATATCTAATACAAGCTGATCACTCCTGCAATCCTTAGCTACTTAGGAGGCTGAGATCTAAGGATCATGGTTTGAAGCCAGCCCAATAAACTACCAGATAAATCGAAGTGGTGTTGTGGCTCAAGTGATAGAGCTCTAGCCTTGAGCTGAAGAGCTGGGGGACAGTACCTTTAGTTCAAGCCCCATGACTGACCAAAAATAAAAGTCTAATACAGCAATGTTTTTAAAGGCACACCCATAAAACAGCTACTAAAATACTTACTTAAATACTTACATCATGTAAAAATAGTTATGACACAACTTACAACAATACCAAAACCACAAGTTACAAAGCAACAGTTTCTAATTTTGTTATTTAAAAATGCTTAGGCTAGGAATACAAAACGTCTAGTGAAACAAGCTAGACTTACAGTTTTTTCAAGAATCTAAATCTTAAACAAAAAAAAATTTAGTTGGGTGGAAGACTTCTTTGGGGTGAAAAATGGAGTGGGATAGAAAACATAAGAAAGGCAGAACACGATTAGAAATATTATGTGTGCAAAGGTCACAATGAAACATATAAAACATTTGTAAGAAACTTAAAAGGGGAAAGGTTGGGGGAGGAAGGATAAGGAAGAGTAATAGAGGAGGATAAATATAAACCAGAAACATTGTATGCATGCATGCAAATGAACCCGCACTGCTGAAATGCATACTTAAGAAGTTCAAAATGTATGAAGAGAAGTCACAGCAGGAATCAATATCCACAGTAGCATGACAGGAATTGTTCACATCTGCAGACCCAGATTTTAGCTGATGGAACTAATTTTTTCAAGGCTACTTTGAGGTCATAAAAAGAATAGCCAAAGGCAAAGGAGAAGAAAAAGTGAGTAAGACCATGTTTACCACTTGTAACCACATATTAGATGTCTGAATTTATACTTTAAAACTGTAATCTAAGGACCTTTGAGGAATTTTTGTTTCTTTCCTCTTTGATATATTCTTATTGAATACTACTATAAAAAAGAAGGAAATCAGTCACTTGAGTCAGTCACACTTTTCATCTCTGGCCTAGTATTTGAAATTTGCTCCACAAGTAAAATATTCTCTCATCCTAACTAATAACTCCTATTACAATCACCCCCCGAGGACTCATAAAAAATTCCAAAGCTCAAGTCATATCCAAGACTAATTAAATCAAAGACCACGGGGTGGGATATAGGCGTAAGTATTTTGTTTTAAGCTCTACACAATGACCACAAAAGGCAGTAATGTTGCCATTAAAAGCAATACCTGATAAAAAGTAAACTAAAGTGACAGATTATAACTTACTAGGGAGTATTCTCCTCCCTCTCCCCTCCCTGGGTGGGGCTTAAAATCAGGGCCTGTGCACTGTCCCTGAGCTTTTCCTGTTCAAGGCTAGTGCTCTACCACTTTGAGCCACAGCACCACTTCTGGTTTTCTGCTAGTTAATTGGAGATAAAAGTCTCAAGGAGTTTCCTCCTCCAGCTGGCTTTGATCCTCAATTCTCGGATCTCAGCCTCCTAATTAGCTAAGATTACAAGCATTAGCCACTAGCACCCCATCTATTAAGGAGCATTTTAAAATCAACTTCCCATATATTTTTTGAAAAATCTGAATATCCTTATCCTAATACAGTATTACTAAAAATGATTTTCATCCTGATTCTATTTGTATACATAAGTAAAAACACTATATAACAAATGAAGAAAAGAGCCTGGGGCCTGAAAGAAAAGTTAAAAGACCACAGACAAGCTGGAAGTCACATGCATGGACAATCACAGAGGAAGAAGAACCTCTCCACTGTCTGCAAAAAAGAAAGAAGCTGCCCTTGGAAATGTAATGGTGGTAAGATTGATGCCTGGGCTGCAAATGTGGTTTTGTTGTGGTTACTTGGATTTGATAGTGCAGTGTTTTAAAGCCACAAGCATTCATCTAGCTAACAACACTACATGTTTCCTGACCTCTAAATTTTGGGTTACATTTCCTGGCACAGAAAAATATAACAGCATTAAAGACTGACCCTCTAATCAACTAAGAAACAACTAAGTCAAAATAGAAGAGAACAGACAGCCAAAAGAGCAAGAACCAAAACAAAGTAGTTAAAGGAGTAGAAAGCTGATGGGCCATGAGGGGAAGAAAATAGTATTATCAACAAGTTAAAGATCAATTCTTTTTAAGAGTATGACCTTCTCCTTCTCACATCTATACTTTTGCATTAAGACCCTTACAAGAGTTGTTAACCAAATTCATGTTTGTCTAATCATTTATTTAATATCTGCTCTTTCAGATGTCAAGGGCATCTGGAAATCTTATGTAAAGAACAGAAGAAACACATAGTCCAGAGATAACAGAAATGCCTAAAATATTAAGTACTGTGGTACTCATGAAGCAAACTGAAGCCAAAAATTTTGAACTCCAAGCCTTCAAATTTTTATTTAGTTCCACAAGCAGGAGAGTATTCCTGCAAGTATAAAACTTGGTTAATATTAATCTAGCAGTATTGTATAGAACTTACTAAATTGGGAGGCAGTCTGTCAGTCAAGCTTCCACAAAATGAACGAGTGACAAATTTGAGAATGCATATAAATTTGTTTGGGAGTGTGAGAGAACTTAGATAGCATTGGGAACCCAGAAGTTGGTGGATGTAAAGAGTAACATTTGGATGCATTTGGGTGCACTTACTCTTCAATGGAGACATTCAAATAGTTTTCACCAGCACCAGAGCTTACAGTAAATAAGGCTAGACAACTAAATTGTCCATTATCTTCAGGAAAGTGGGTCTGGGGGCAAAATATAAAAAATAAATTCAAAGGCAAAGCTGGCACTGGAACAGATTGGTAAGAGTGATAATAGGAACATATGACAGTGCTAAAGAAACCAAAGAAGACCAGAGTTCAAGCAGAATTGCCCAACAATGCCAGCCATGGAAAGCAGGCCCTTTCCCTCTCTGTCATGGTAATCCCTTTCGTATTTGTGGATTACACTACTGTAGACTGGACGGCCTTGGCCTCACCTCTGTTTTGCTAGGGAAAATCGTATTCCAGGGCTGCCTCAGGAAAACCACCTCTAATCAAACCCCCCAAGCTAGTCCTGATCTAACATAGTCAATCCGCATCCTGAAAGCTAGGATGGAATAACGAGGAGAAGCATGGAAATGATCGTCTCTTCTAATTAGGCTGTTAAAAATCTGTTTCTCAAATAATTTGGTATTACTAACCATGTCAAAAAAAAAAAAAAGGCAGCAATGAGTGTACGCACTCTCTCCAAGAGCTGGATAACTGTAAAGTACTAAAAAAGCAAAAAGTGTTAAAAAAAAAAAAGTATCCACATCGAACAAAGGTTTGAGAAGCAGGCCAGTGGATACAATGTTGGACTCTTTTGCAACAGTAACTATTAACTTCCGCACAAACTTTTTGTCCCTTTGTGGGAAAACATCAAGCAAACTGTTAGGGCTTTGCACACGGGACAGTCGTCCTCATTTGATCAGGACAAGCGCTGGCTCCAAAGCAAATACACCCTCACTTTCTGAAAGGATGATGACCCGATTTCCGCGAGGAACACTTTCAAAGAGCTAACGTCTGCACACATCTCCCCCAACCCCAAGCCACGTTCAGGGGCCTGCGAACGGCAGCCGCCGGGGTGAAGCTGGAGCCGTCCGACACAGCCCAACCATCGAGTCTCACCACCAGCACCAGACAGCCGGCAACGCGCGAGTGTGCTCGCGGCGCGCAGCAGCCCAGGCCGGAGGACTGGCCGGGCGGGCGAGCGGACACCCCGGCCCTTCTCCCAGCTGGGCGAAAGTAGCCAACGGCCCCCGCCACCGCTCTGCTGGCTTCTTCGCCCACTCACCTCGACAGCAACCTCCACAAGTCTTGTTGCCCCATGCCCACAATATTTGTCTGAGTTAAAGCCGTCGGGAGGGCCGCAGCAAGTCCGTACCCGGCGTCAGCCCCGCCCACTTCCGTGAGACACCGAGAGGTCCTCCGAACCGCTAGAGCGGCCCCGAAGCCAGCTGTTTTGTTTGGTTGTGAGCTGCCAGGGGGCGGGGCAAAATAACCTCTTGAAGAAATTGGGTTGCGAGTTAGGGGCGTGGTCAGAATCGGAGGCGGGGTGAAAGCCAAAGCAGAGAAGATACTGAGGCCAGGAGAAAAGAAAAAAAGGAAAAAACAAAAAAGAGAGATTGCCCTCTAGAGGCTGTCTTGGGTAAAGACGAAGCGGTCATCCAGGTTTGGCCTGCTGCTAATAGGACAGAGTATTTTGGTAAAGACTTCTCTATTTTAACTAGGGTGAAGTGGAATCTCTCAGTGTTATGATTGGCATTCCTTTTATGGCCAGAGATGTTGAGCATTCTCCACGTGTCTATTGGCCAGTCTTACTTCTTCTGAAAAGTCTCTCTTTAAGTCTTCAGCCTATTTATTAACTAGGTTGTTGTTTCGTTGAGGATTTGTGGGGTTTTTTTGGGTAAGGGGAAAGAACAGGTAATTTTTTTTTTAGCCCTTGTCGAATGCATAGCTAGTAAAAATCTCCCATTCTGTGGGATTTCTATTTATCTTGCTAGCTATGTCCAAACAACACTGAGATTCCACCTGCCCCAGTTAGACTGGCCATTATCAAGAAAACTAATAATGACAGATGCTGGTGGGGATGTGGCCAAAAGGAAACACTATTACACTGATGGTGGGAATGTGAACTAGTTCAACCACTCTGGAAAGCAGTATGGAGGTTCCTCAAAAGACTAAACATACAACTTCTTTATGACTCAGTAATCCCACTCCTGAGCATTTATCCAATTGACCACAAGCCCGGCCACGCTAAAGCCACTAGCACAACCATGTTCATTGAAGTATTGTATCCCGTAGCCAAGTTAGGGATTCAATCCAGAAATACCTCAGTGGATCAAGAAAATGTGCTATGTATACACAATGGAATTCTACTCTTAAATCAGAAAGCATGATATTGCCCCATTTGTAAGGAAATAGAAATAAGGACTTGGCAATAAACTATTAAGTGAAGTAAGCCAGACCCAAAGAAACAGGTTGCATTGCTTCCTTCATTTGTAATAATTAGAACATGCCTATAAATCTATAAGTAAATACAATGGATGGTAAAAGACAAAAAAATTACACTTGGACATGATAAACAAGACATGGACATGATAGGATTTGATAAACATTCACACAGTGAGACAAAGGTAAGATATTCTTAGGATCACAAGGACTCAAATAGCTATGTACATATGATCATATAAAGTAATGCTTATTGAAATGGAAATACTTTGTTTTCCCCCTTTTGTTGCTATTTTTTATTTCTGTACTTTTTGTCTTGTATGCAAGTTTATTTGATTGGAGGGACAGGAAGCATAGAAATGGTGGGACAAAGGGTGAACAAATATAGCAGTGATACTCACTAGACATTATGTTGAGAGTGAACTATGTAACTTAGGGGGAGGAGGGGAAAACTGGGAGAAAATAAAAACAAAGTGACACTGTTCAAAAAGAAATATACTCCTTGCCTGGCTTACCTGTAAATCCCTCTGTACATCATATTTACTATAAAAATCAATACAAAAAAGACTTTTCTAGAATTTTAATAACCTTTAAATAAAAATAAAAGCCAGATACTAATCGTTCATGCTTTTAATCCTAGCTATGTAGGAGGCTTAGACATTGGTTTGAGGTCAGCCAGGGAGGAAAAGTTTGTGAGACTCCATCTCAAATATACCAGCCAAAAAAATGACTGAAGGAGTGGCACAAGTGGTTATCCACCTGCCCAGCAAGCAAACAGCAGGCTCTCACTTCAGATCCCACTATAAAAAGAAAAGAACAATAACATTTAATATTCTTTGAAACTCAAGCAGATGGAATACAGTTGATAAATAAATTATCAATATAGTTTGTTCCTAATCCAACATAGCTGCAATCTTTTACATTGCTATTGGGACATTTCCAGTTTCGTTGGCAAGTTACAGATCCTTCTTCCCAGTGACAAAAGAATAAGTGATAGATCTGATCTCACCAGCTAAACAGCAAAAGCATAAGCACATTGAGAAAAAAGCTTATTAAGTCAAGATTTAACTATGCCATTAGGATCCACTGTAGAGTTGTTTCAGATCCACCCAAAGGTCGACAGTAAACATTCATCATGAAGGAAGTATTGACTTAGTATCAGAAATAAGGCAACAGGTGAAGAGTTTTAGAAAGTTTTTCAGAGCTAGGGTTAGAACTCAAGCCCTCCTTCAGGCTAGATAAACACTACCAGTGAGCCACACTTTCTACCCTAATAACAACCCCAAAAAATAGCAGCTTAAAATAACAAACATTTATTATCTCATTCAGATTCTGAGGTTCAGGAATCAGGGAGAGGCTTAGCTTGGTGTTTGTAGTTTTCAGTTTCTCATGTTAGCTGGGATTGTAGATATTAGAATGCTCACTGGAGGAAGGAGGATCCTTCACCAAACTTTTGATTCTTGGTAGCTTTCTAACCATCTGGGCCCTTTCATATGGCTGCTCACAAGTAGAAGCTTTCTTCCTCTAGAGTAAGAGATCCTAGAAAGAGAACCACCTAGATAAAAGCCAAAGTATAGTTTATAATCAAAAGCAGTACAGAGGTGCCTTAAAAGACTGAACATACAGCTTCTCAATAACCCAGTAATCCTTCTCCTGGGCATTTAGCCAATGGACCACAAACCAGGCCACACTAGAGCCACCAGCACAACCATGTTCATTGCAGCATTGTAGATAGCTAAGATATGGAATCAATCCAGATGTCCCTCTGTAGATGAATGGACCAAGAAAATGAGGTATACAACCAAACACTCTATGCTTGTCTAACATTCATGAAGCCCTGGATTCGATTCCTCACTATCACATAAACAGAAAAGGCCAGAAGTGGTGCTGTGGCTCAAGTGGTAGAATGCTAGCCATAAGCAAAAGAACTCAGGACAGCACCCAGGCCCTGAGTTCAAGCCCCAGGACTGGCAAAAATAAAATAAAAATAAATAAACGAAGAAGAAAATGTGGTATATATTCACAATGGAATTCTATGCTTCCCTCAGAAAGAAGGACATTGCCCCATTCATAAGGAAATAGAAAGACTTGGAAAAAATTATATTAAGCAAAGCAAGCCAAACCCAAAGAAACTTAGGCTGTATGGCTTCCCTCATTTGTAATAACTAGAATATGTCTAGGATATTCTCAGCAAAGGACCTCAAAGCAAGTGAAATAAATTTTCCTGAAGAGATAAGTTCAGTGAGTAAGCATCAGATGTCCATATGATTGTTAATACATCAATAAACTTTCTGAACTGGTTAGTAGTCACTGACTTCAAGGAGCTCCTAAGAAGCACTGGTGAAGAACACTATGATATAGCTATATACAAATAGAGACCCATCCCCCTGAATCCACAGATGTCTAGATTCTTTGAGGGAGTTGCTACTCCATGGTGGTAATGCTTGCACACTGGGAGACCTGTGCCTAGAACCTATGAGGCTCTTTTTCCCTTTTTTAGGACAGCCTGCAGGCTGCTGCACACCAGAGTTGACCTCAAAGCAAGCATGGTACCGTAGTTTCCCATTATTTCAAAGATAAATTATTTCTGCCTTTTATATGCTTGTTCTAATCATTTGGGAAGTCCAAATAAACAAGCTGTACCATATGCATTATGATGGAGTTACTGAAATGATCATCAAGAACAAAACTGGAGGACTCTCCTCCATCTCCCTGTCTCTTTGACTGAGTGGATTCTCAAGCAAATGTGTGGGCTGTTTGCTGATAGGATCTAAAGACTATGCCAGATGTTGGACCCTGGAGGTTGCATGGTACTACGGAAACCTCTCATAAGGCTACCTGTCAAATAGTCTACATATGTTTCCCCTCCCAGCAAGTTATGAAATAATGCATACAGCATGACACTATTTATATTTTAAAATCTATCAAGAAAAAAGAAATATGTCAGCATACAACAGCGATGTACTATTCACAATAGCCAAGTTATGAAATTAACAGATGAATGGATAAAGAAAAATGTAGCACATATACATAATGCAGTATTATTCGACTGTGAAAAAAAAAGAATGAAAGTATGTTATTTGCAGGGGGCGGGGAATGGATGCAACTAAAAAAACCATAATGTTAAGTAAAATAAGCCAGACTAAGAAAGCTAAATGCCTCTTTTTCAGTTATATGAGAAATCTAGACCTAGCAAAAAGAACATGAATATTAAAAGGAGAATAATTTGGTGGTAGGGAGCCGTGAGGAAGGAAGTGCACATGATCAAGGTACATTATATGCACATATGAAAATATTATAATGAAACCCATTGTGATTTTTTTAAGACCAAGCTGGGTGCTGGTGGTTCAAGCCTGCAATCCTAGCAACTCAGGAAGCTGAGACCCAAAGATTACAGTTCAAAGTCAGGCCTGGCAGTAAAGTTTGTGGGACTTTTATCTACAATAAATTACCAAAAAGAAATTACATAAATAAAAGAAAGCCAGGAGTGGAGCTGTGGCTCAAGTGAAAGAGCACTAACCTTGAGCAAAACAGTTCAGAGATAGTATATGGGCCCTGAGTTTAAGCCCTAGGACTGGCATTAACAAAAAGCAATAGAGAGTGTAAAAATGATCAAATATTGTATGTATGTGTTGAAATGTAACACTGAAACCTCTTTATACAATTAGTATATGTCAAGCAAAGTACTCACAATAAAAAAATATGACCACACTTAAAACAAAATAAATAGCAACTAACAAAGATCAGAGCATTAATAAAATAGGGTTTTTTTCAAAAGATGGTTTAAGAGAAAGGAAATGTGTGTATGGGGCTGGAACCAACTCAGTGGTGGAGCTCTTGACTCACAAAATTCACTTCCCAGCACCACAAAAAAAGAGACAATAATGAAATGTGTATCCATTTACAGAAACGTTCTAGAAGAATGCACATCCAAAATGAGCAATGAGTTTCCTTGGG